TCTTGACTTCAACAACATTTATATGACCATTATCAAATATATTCAAAATTTAGTATTTATTTTTTTTAATCAAAATACATCTTTAAAGTTTATTATTGGTTTTTCTGCGATCATTGACACCTGTTTTTGTGTATTCAGATAAGATTCAAAATTCTCTCTCTATATTGTATATACAGACTATATAGAGACAAAAATCATGACATTGATATTTTCGAAAAAAAAAACAACAACAACATAATGCTGATAAGAAATGAAACAAAACTAGCTTCGCACCTGTGATAAGACGATAAGGAATGAACTCTATTTTAGTTCTGTGTATTTTTGTCATTGGGCCAACAGAAATTTTAACAACCAACCATTTCACTTGGCATTGAGGAAGAAAAAAATTCAAACAAAAAAATAATAGAATTTAGAAATGAATTTCTAATCTAACAGCAGAGCTACCGTTAATGATAACAACAATTCTGCTGTTAGATAAAATAAAATAACATTTCGAATAATCAAATTGTCTGGCCATTAATGCTACATATACATCACACGCACATATGCTTATATGGGGAGTATTAGGAGGTAGCTGTCGTTATGGTTAAGATTATATAAAATCGGTTGGGTTACAAGGGGTTTTTTGTTGTGAAATCATTAGCCTCACATCACAATGACTTGACCATCATTGTTGCTAAGAAATTTTTTTGTTAGGGCTTTTTGTTGAAAATCAAATGTAGATTCATAAAATATATTGGAAAATCTAGTGGATTTTATTTGTCATGGACATTTAGATATTTTCAATAAAAATATATTGATAATCGTGTTAAAACGTGTTCAATAGTCTTATCTAGCAATAGGCCTATGTAGCATTTTATTTGATTTACAGACCGTGATTTTTTTTTTTTTTAATACCACTTGAGGCAATAAGCAAATCATACGCTATACAAAATATTTCTGAATGCTGACAGCATATGGTCTGAAAAGTTCAAAGATCGAATTTTGAAGAATGTTTTTTTTTCAGAACATTTTAACAGAAATGAGTTAGCGGTTATTTTGCCAATACACCTGTTTTATGTCTCTCAAGTTGAAACGAGACATTTTATGTACAGTTTTTATATATAGGCATGCTGAAATTATTTTTTTTATTAATTTGTCTTTCGAGATGAGCTACATGATCGGAGTTGCAATGAAAAGGAAAACCAGAGAGATACTACATTCCCACCACTATGCGGTGCGTTTCGCTGCTGGTTAAGCGGCTCATCAGGCATATTGGGCAATGTGGCTTACAAATGTCTTTACTTGATAAGTTGTATTTAAGTCGACTATTGTTGCGAAATTGCATCTACGAATTAAATTCAACCGTGTCAAGGTTCGGACATTTGGTAACACACCAGAACATTCCTTTTCAGAGCAGATTTTTCTTGTAGTGACGGACTTTTTTTCCATACAGACTACAATATTTTTTCTTCAATGGTTTGTAACTGCATATTGTGCAACCTTAGGAAGATAAGGAGGTGGCTTTGAACGCTAAGGCGCCGGACATCAATAGATGCCATGGGAACCAGGGTTCAAGTCCCAGCCGTGAAATTAAGTTTCCAACCCCACATGGAACTATACTATAGCGAATAATTTTGATGTCGTTTGAAACCAAATCACCTTCTGAGTCGATTATGCATAATTGTAAACAACATCCAGGTAGAATTTATGATCCAAATGAGATTAAATTTGGCAGAGCTCATATATTTGGCCCAAGGATGAACCCTATTGAAATTGAGAAAAATCAGTTCGGATTTAAAAATAGCTCCCGTATACATTTTCGTCCGATTTTATGCAAATGTTGCACCAAAATCCCTATATACCTTTCGAATTGCACCAAATTTGGCACAGCGTACTAAATTGAGCCTAGAATGATGTGTGCTAAGTTTCGTGAAAATCGGTTCAAATTTAGATATAGCTCCCATATATATTATTGCCCGATTTAAGGAAAATGGTGCACAAAAGTCCTTAAGTACCTTTCGATTTGCACGAAATTTGGCACAGCGTACTTCATTGAGCCTAGAATGATGTGTTCTAAGTTTCGGTTCAGAATTAGATATATTAGATATTAGATATCGGTTCAGAATTAGATATAGCTCCCATATATTTTAGTCCGATTTTATGTCAATGGTGTACCAAAGTCCCTATATATCTTTTGATTTACACGAAACTTAGCACAGTATTCTAAATTTAGCCTGTAATGATGTGTGTTGATTTTCGGGAAAATCGATACAGTTTTAGATATAGCTCCCACATATATTTTCGTCCGATTTAAGGTAAATGGTGCAGCAAAGTTCCTATATATCTTTCGATTTGCATGAAATTTGGCACACCGAACGGAATTGAGTCTGGGAAAATGTGTTTTAAATTTTGTGAAAATCGGGTCAGATTTAGATATAGCTCCTATATATTTTTTCGTCCGATTTAATGTAAATGGTGCAGGAAAGTCCCGAAATATCTTTTGATTTGCACGTAAAGTTTCGAGAAAATCGGTTCAGATTAAGTTTTGAATGAAATTTTGCACACCAAACTTAATTGAGTCTAGAATAATATGTGATAAGATTCGTGGAAATCGGTTCAGATTTAGATATAGCTATTATATATATTCGTGGTGCAAGAAAGTCCCTGTATATCTTTCGATTTTCACGAAATTTGGCGTGATGCACTGAATTAAGTCTGGAAAGATGTGTTACAAGTTCCGTGAAAATCGGTTAAGATTTCGTTATTGCTCCCATATATATTTTTGCCCGATTTTATGTAAATGGTGTACCAAAGTCCCTATATAGCTTTTAATTTACACGAAACTTAACACTAAATTGAACCTGCAATGATGTGTTCTAAGTTTCGTGAAAATCAGTTCAATTTAAGATATAGCTCTCATATATAATTTCATCCGATTTAAGGTAAATGGTGCAGCAAAATTCCTATATGTATTCCAATTGCCACGAATTTTGGCACTGCGTACTTAATTAGGTCTGTTATGATATGCTCTAAGTTTCGTGAAAATTGGTTCAGTTTCAGATATAGCTCTTATATATATTTTCCGATTTAATGTAAATGGTGCACGAAAGTCCCTAAATATCTTTCGATTTGCACGAAATTTGGCACAGCGTACTGAATGAAGCCTAGAATGATGTGTGCCAAGTTTCGTGAAAATCAGTTCAGATTTATAGATCCCATATATATTTTCGTCCGATTTTATGTAAATAGAGCATCAAACTCTTTCTGTTGGTTCGAATGACACGAACTTTTGCACAACGTGCCAAATTGAGACTAGGATGGTTTTTTGTGTTATGTTGAAATTGGTGTGGATTCATACATAGCTACCATATATATTTTCGATTGACCAAATAATCAACGGGTGTCTGACAGATGTTAAATTCCGAACAGTGCAACATACTACATAGCTTGTGTCAAGTTTGCTTTAAATCGATTTCCTCTTATATATCTAGGGTATACAATTCTAGGAGAATCATTTTTTTTTAATTTTTCACACAAAAAATGTTGGTCCATTGACCCGCTTAATATCGACCATATAATTTTTTTCTCAGTGAATAGCATATCGTTCTTACCAAAAAGTACCAATGTAAGTCCATCATCAGATATAGTCGTTTTATTTCGCATATTATAGTTGTTCAATTTTCGTTATTTGGAAGATTTGAATGTCCACCACCTCATGTTCGACCGATTGACTCGAAATGGGCTTCCGACTTGAGAATACAATGACATGGAATGCGAATTATTATAAAATAATAAAAAATAGAAACAATATTGGTAAATTTTTAATTATACACCATATAAAGCAGTCTTACGACATATATGATTCTATACAAAAAAATATAAAAAACGATCGAACATTGGCCAACAGATTGCTGTCAAACATCAAACTAAAGATGTACAACAGCACGTTGGCAAACAACACTTTTTATAATAAACAAATTTGCCATAAACAAAAAGAGAAAATACTAAGAGAGTGGTGATTGACCCAACTAACAAACTGACACAGTTATAAACATATATGTTAATACATATGTATCTACACGTGATCGTTCAGCTATTAAGAACAACCGAAACCCACAACAAAAATTCACGAATTATTTTTTGTGGGAACTTTTAAAAACCTGTTTCTAATGGAGCTTTTACAAATCGCTCTCTCGCTTGCGGTTTCTTAACCACAAGCTGAGAACTATTAGTGATTTATTTATATTTATTTAATAAAAAAACAACAACAATAACATATGAGCACTCTTACGATGAGAAGACTATACATATGTCTCATATTCATGCCCATAATTTATACAGTCCAACAACGGGAGGGAACCCAACCTGACTGGCACATTTTCCGCTTCGTCATTTGGCATCATTAAAAGCAACAACAACACCAGCCACCACCAACGACAACATCCATAGATAGGGGCCAAGACGCGCGTCAAGAATCAACAATAAAATAATTTCCATATAATCGATAGACCGCTGGCTGCTCGCTCGGTAATAAACGAACGTAAAACGAAATTATTGCACACCGGCGAGAAGTTCTTATCACAAACCCGAAAAAAAATCGGCGAGGGGCTGGGGTCTTTATCACATTAAGATAACTGCTCAGTTTTTTTTTATAATCCGAGGCGGCTTGGCAGTTTTTTGGTAGAATCACAATTCAGTTAGCTTAGGGAAGTGGTTCGGTTAAGATTGTGAAAAAACTAATAGTGAGAAGATCGGAAGACAAGCAAAAAACATATGTGGCAGTGAGAAAGTGTTAAATTGTGAAAAAAAATATTTAAAAAATAATACCGACTCCAACGTTAAGTTGTGAGAGTGGGAGGAGTGAAGGAATAAAAAAATTAAGAATTAAATGTGCCGGAGAAAGTTATCTGTATAAGAATGCAAATACATATACATACATATATTAAAATTAAATTATATTAAAAATTGTATAACGTGCAAAATAAAAATAGAAGAAGGAAGATAAATAATTTCTAAACATGCAGTCCTTTAAAGCAGATGAACTGCCGCAAAATCCGCGGGAAACCGCTAATCCTTTATCGACAATGATGTTCTGGTGAGTGTCCTTTTTTAAAAATTACACATTTTTTCGGGCTTCTGTAGACTCTCGATAAATATTATACGGTTAAAAAGTGGTAATAAACTTGATTAATCGGAATTTCAATACAAATCTTCCATAATTAAAAAAGTTGTCTTGTCACCGTGAATTAGCGGAATACGATTGTATATCCAAAAATAAAAGTAATATGTGATAATCGATTAAACCAAAACGGAAATGGTACTTCACAAATATGGAAGAAAAAAACAATTTCGAACTTTAGTCACATTGAAAGCAAATAATATCAAAGTGCAAAAACAAATATTTGACTGTATAATCACATCACATGTTGGTGACAAAATTCACAGAACTTGCATAAATATACACACGCACATACGTAGACAATTTTTATACTCTAGCATAAAAAATACAAAAAAAAGTTGGCAAATTTGTTTTGACAAATTAGAGATAGCCAGAAAAAAATTTGATGATTATTAAAAATGAGATTTCTTGTTTGAGAATATCCGGAAAAGTGTGACGTGAGAAAGTCGTGGTGAAGATCGAGTTGTTTATTTTTCGGTGTTGTCGTGGTTATACCAAAATCAAATATGGGGGGTTTTTTGCATACCCCTATATTATTTTTCAACCTCTACGAAGTACAAAGTAATATAGCCCATTTAGAGATTCAACTTGGACCACTATACTCAGTATTGGAGTATATGGTAGTATTTTGTTCATGCACTGAAAAATGTATAATACAAATTTCAGATTAAACGGATCATTTGTATGGTGTCAAAAATATAACCTATATTGAATCATTTCTGGAAATAAGTTTTTTCACTCTCCACGATCCCGAATTGCCAAATTGTAGCCAGTTCAATGAGAAAATTTTGGTAATAACATCGAAAATGAGGTGGGACCTTTACGTGGGGCCTATATGAAAACATAGACCAATATAGAACATTTTCTCTAAAAATGTATTTTACCTTACAAAATTCTGGAATGCCAAATTACATTCTCTACAATAGGAAAATTCAGCTAAATACGTATTTTAAATACTGCCATAGGGACTATGTCAAGGTAGTATTTTTATTGACATTTTCTCTATGTATTTCAGCCATTAAGAAGCCTTTATATCGAATCAGTGGGAAAATGTGGCTAATACATTTTAAATGCTTAAATGTAAACCTATATTGATAATTTTTAAATAAAAGATTTTATACCCAAGGAGATCGGGAAAATTTCAATTAGAACCTATTCGGTTGAAAAACGTGCCCAAGCCTTCAAAAATATCGAGTAAATATTATATGGAAGCTACCCAGAAACTTGGGCCAATATTTAGAAAATATAAAATTTCAGCTAATTTGTTCGAAACACGTGCTCAAAATCTACAAAATATCAACATTTGAGACGTACCATTATATCCCAAATATTTTATCAGTATTGATTATTTTTAATAGGACAATATTTTATTCAATAAAATTCCAGAATACCAAATTGCAGCTGCTTAGGTTTAAAACCTGACCAAACGTTTCAAAATACCAACCAGTGAGCGGAGCAGTATAGTCGGACGGGGCCGACCATATGATAACCTACACAACTTCCACGAAAATCTAACTTTCTGTGGTTATATATTCTGAACATGGAAAATATTTCGCTATATTTACACCATCTTGACCGACTAGAGGTCAACAAATATTACTAATATTCAGTAAATCCCTTCTAATTACTTGTCCAGATTCCCTTCACGGTGGGTTGTGTTATGATGTTCGACTTTCAATAGTGGACTATATATGGACTAGAAAAAACACAAAAAATTAAGTTTTCGGTCAACCTCATCCCAATATTATTATCCGATCATCACCGAAAATTATAGGCGTTATCCTTGACCATTCCTGGATCCTCATGAAATTTTCAAAGCGATCCGCGCTGTATTTCCGCCTCCAGTGTGGTAATGTGTTACTAAATAATATCTGAGTACGTAAGCACCTGTAAATATTTAAATGTAACTTCCACATCCGAGTACATACGACAATATAATTGCTATCAATTTAAAGGTCAACCACTCCTCTTGGATATACTATCAACTTCTCGGCTCTATGTCAGTCAGGAGTAAATATATACGCTATAGAATACAAATTTTGTCATTTTTCACACAAAAGTTAGGGTCCATTTGAACCGCTAAATATTGATCGATCTTTATCAAAACAGGCATGCTTATTCTTTGGCCCAATCCCCTTCTCCATGTAGAAATTGGCGGTGTTTGGGCAATAATTGCGGCCTGTAGAGCGACCAGAAAATCAGACAAAAATTTAGTTTTTGGCCCATTTCATCCCCTAAATATTAACCGATCTTTACCAAAAACAATAGGGGTCTTCATTGAGCAGAACCCATCCTACATCGTGTTTACAAATTATAATGGACAGACAGACGGACGGACGATCACACATGTCTAGATCGGCTCAGCTAGTCGAAATATAACGATCGGTATACTTAATGGTGGGTCTAGGACCAATGTGTAGCTTATGGGATCTCTCAAGATCGAATGACCAATTTAATATACACTGCACCTTATTATGTAGGCAAAAAATACCTCGACAGAAATGCTCAAAAATTAACTCTTTCAATTATTGTGTCATATTTAATTGTGGATACTTCGAAAGTTTATCCAAAATATACTTGCTTTTATTTAAATTATTATAAAATATCGTTTCAAATTTGTGTATAGTTCCCGCACATATATACTGCCAAAACGTGTTATGATAATAATCATGAAACCGCAAAATAATGTATGAGGATAAATATTTGAATGTAAGTAACTATACGATTCGGTCCATTTGATACGTAAAAATCAATAGATCATAATTCAATGAGGCATGTTCATATTGTCCCAGTACTAATGTACCCCTTTTTTTGTACGACATAATTTTTATTTGAATGCCTATTTTTGAAATAGCCATAAAATCGAATGGAGGCAATTATGGACAATAAAATTGTTGCAAGTAATTAAGGGGACCTGTTGACGTCACAAAAAAAAATAATATTAATTATTTTCATAACATTCATAATGAGCATATGCAACGTGGAAAAATAAACACGATCTTTTTTATTTGAAGTTATTTACATTTTGTTAAAAAATGAATTAGTTCTATTTGTTTTTAATGCTTGGATAAATGACATTATGAATGGTATCATATACTAGTTTGGGTTCAAATATTTATTTCCTTTTGATAATACAAATAGAGGCATCCATGGAATTTCTTTCACCATCATCCTTTCGATATTTCATGAACTCCTGGCCGTAAAAAGATTTGATCTCCTTGGATCGAAAATCATCAAGGTGGTTCGTCAATAGGAAGACGATACAAAACGAAGGAAAGTTGCAAAACGCGGAATTGAGCATTGATCAATAAAAGGTGTCTCAATTATTTTGTCAATTCCGCTGATCTGTCTGTCTTCCACGTTATGTATCCGTAAAAGCGTACCTTTACATACGAAACATTTTTTCCAAAAACGGAAGGGCCATAAATTGGAATGTCGGCAATTATGAACTATAAAATTATTCGGTAATTAAATGGAAGTATGTACGTCATACAACGACATTCCGCTACCATATATTACGTTGAGTATATACCTATTCCGTTTTGGGAATAATTATATCGACTATGTTCACATTAAAAAATAAAAATGAAGATACTGGAAGACCTTCGTTTACCTACAATATTTCCGATTTGTATAATATCCCTAAAACTAAACGTAAATTGGGCAAAACTGGGTTCATGCACAACAAAAATTTACCTCTAGCGAAATAGACAGCAGATATGTCACAAGATGCTCTTTTGTACAATACCCTTGTCTAAAATTAATATTGCCTAAATGGAGTAATATATTTCTTCTTCCGTTTCCAACATTTATATATTTTTTCGATCGGGATTATGCCGTTTTAGCCATGTTCGTCGTTCATTCACTTTAGATTTCGTACAATCTCATTTTTCATGCTCATTAATGTATAATTACTCCATGTGCGAAATTAAAAAAATGGTAATTTTCCTCACATTTTCTCCAACTCATATTCAATAAAAACTTCAAATTATCTTCGAAATTTAATGATGGCAATTTTGGAAATTTTTCATTAAATGATAAGATCTGCAAATTTTCCAAAAATTGCATATAATCATAACAGATATGGCCAAGTGTGACATAATCCTAAAAATGAGCATGATTTGTATACCCTAACGCAGATGATTTGTATACCCTACACAAGTATGTTGTCAGGGTATTACAACTTTGTGCAGCCCCAAGAGTTTGTAACGCCGCAAAATATTGGTCCTAGACCCACCTTTAAGTATACCATCTCGACTAGCTGAGTCGATCTAGACATGTGTGTCCTATTTAGGGGATGAAATGCATCAAATACTGAATTTTTGTCGGTTTTTCTGATCGCTCCAGAGGCCGAAATTCTTGCCCAAACATCTCGAATTTTTACATGGAGAAGGGTATCAGGCCAAAGAATCAGCATGCCTTTTTTCATAAAGATCGGTCATTATTTAGCGGGTCAAATGGACCTTGACTTTTGTGTGAAAAATTAAGAAAATTGTATTCTATAGCGTATATATTTTCTCCTGAAGGGCATAGAGCCGAGAAGTTGATAGTATAGCCAAGAGGAGTGGTTGGCCTTTAAATTGATACCAATTATATTGTCGTATGTACTCGGATGTGGGAGTTACACGTAAATATTTATAGGTGCTTTCGTATTAATATATTATTTAGTAACACATTACCACACTAGAGGTCGGAAATATTGCGCTGATCGCTTTGAAATGTTCCATGAGGTTCCAGTTATGGTCAAGGATAACGCCTATAATTTTCGTTGATGATCAGATAATAATTTTGGGATGAAGTGGACCGAAAACTTATGTTTTTCGAGTCGATCTATAAGCCGAACATCACAACACAACCCACGCTTAAAAGAATCTGTACAAGTAATTAGAAGTGCTGTACTTAATATTACTAATATTTGTTGACCTCTAGTCGGTCAATAGGGTAAAAATATCGCGAAATATTGCCCTAGCTCAGAATATAGATCTACAGAAAGTTATGTTTTCGTGCAAGTTGTGTAGGATATCATATGGTCGGCCACATCCGACTATACTGCTCCGCTCACTGGTTTATACTTGAACCTGATATAATTTAATTGTTATTATACCCTTCACCACACTGTGGTACAGGGTATTATGTCTTTGTGCATATGTTTGTAACAGGCAAAAGGAAACGAGATAGACACATGGTTCCTTTTAGAATATGAATAGAATCACTTTCTGAGTCGATTTATGCATGTCCGTCCGTCTGTCTTTCGATTTGCACCAAATTTGACATAACGTATTGAATTGAACCTAGAATTATGTCTGCCAAGTTTCGTGAAAATCGGTCCAGATTTAGATATAGCTCCCATATATAGTTTCGTCCGATTTCATAGAAATGGTGCACCAAAGTCCCTATATATCCTTCGATTTGCACGAAATTTGGCATTACGTACTGAATTAAGCCTAGAGTGATGTCTGCCAAGTTTCGAGAAAATCGGTCCAGATTTCTATATAGCTCCCATACATAGTTTCGTCCGATTCAATGTAAATGGTACACCAAAGTCGCTATATATCTTTCGATTTGCACAAAATTTGGCATAACGTACTGAATTGAGTCTAGAGTGATGTCTGCCTTGTTTCGTGAAAATCGGTCCAGATTTAGATATAGCTCCCTTTTATTACAGATTTATTTTAAGTAATTGACGCACGAAGGAACCAATATGCTGATAGGAACAAAACGTTCTGAAATTAGTATAACCTAACCTGTGACAAGTTTGTTTGAAATCGCTTAATATTTGGATAAAGCTTCCATATATATTTTCGACAGATTTCAAGAAAATTGGGCATCAAACTCCTCATGATAGTCAGATTGACATTATATTTTGCACAACTTACAAAATTGAGCATAGAATTACGTAGTTGCGTTTTCTAAAAGTACAGAAATAGTCCAACGGATGACCTATTTATATTTGTTTGAAGTCGATTTACATACTTTATGGATAGATCTAGGTAGATTCACATTAAAAATAAATATCACATATTTTATTTCATCCAATTTCATGTTAATAGTCCTGTTTAATATACCCATAGTGGTGGAGGGTATCATATAGTCGGCCCCGTCCGATTTTACTACTTTCCTTACTGGTTTTTTATTTTCAAAAATTTCCGTCAAAACTTTATTTCTCCCCTTTATTTTGTTTCCAGCTTCACAATGCCAACATTTTTCAAGGGACGCAAAAAAGTCCTCGATGAATCGGATCTTTTTCGGGCCCTCAAGGAACACAAATCTGGTAAGTGTACTAGTGCTATTTATATTATTTTTATTAGACTACAACTATAAAGATAACCATTCAAAAAAAAAAAATAAATAAAACAAATATTTTAACACGCTTCTTTTCGCCTCATTGAAGGCAAAAACAAAATTACGTGAACGTTATAAATATTCTGATTTTATTTTTTGTTTTTGTGTTTCGTGTGCGGTTTTGCAATATTATCTTTCTAATGATAACAACAATTGTCGTTTTTTTATTCTCAATCAATTTAAAGTAACGAAAATTAGCAAAGTCATTGTAGCGTACTATGAAAATCGAATGGTAGCAACATATGGCTGGCAATAACGCCGATATCGATTCCAGTGATTATCAGTTTTGTGTATGGAAGGCCAAGTTGTCGTTATCTTAATTACTCACATAATATTCATGACGGTGCTAACAAGCTTCTTTTGAGTAGTCACTACGTTGAGTGTTGTTGTTGTGTTTTTTTATAATAATTGAGGAATATTTTTTTTTGTCGAAAAAGTTGTTTGCAGGTAAAATTTTTTATAAGTAGAAAATTATGACATTAATAAATATTTATTAATTATTTAATTTTCAATTGGCACTCGACTAGGAAAAAAATACTTCATTGTTGTACATTACGTAGTAGTACCTACATCAATATAAAATGCATTCTCAATGGGCAGTTATTACACGATGAAGAGACTGACTGAAGAGAATGATTGGCCATTAACTTATAAGGAGTGGAAAATTTTCATAAGGAGGTTAGGTGTAGATTGGAAGTAGATCTACTAAGTATATATCAGTTTGAAATGTTTAGTTTGATTAGAAAATTACTTCCTAGGTTATTTTTAAATTAAAAAGCAATTTATTATAATATGACTTGTCATAAATGCTTCGATTATTAGACTATAAAATTATGACATTAATTAATATATATTAGTTATTTTCTCAATTGACACTCAAGAAAAATCGCGTATATAAATAAAGTGCTTAACATTTCAATTGACTCTCAAAAGACAACTACCTGTTGAATAGATAATGACAACGTTTTAATATATATGAGTACAATTATAAGACTAACTGGGCTAACTGAACTTGGGCCGATCATATGTTACCCTACCTTACTACCATTGAACTTTTATTTTCAGCGGATTTACATACCGAGCCTGGAAACTGTAATTCGATACACACAATAGTCTTGGTTCATTTGACCCGCTAGATGACTAGATGTTTGGCTTATAATAGTGGCCTAGAAAACCATACAAAATTAAAGTGTTGGTCCATTTCGTCCTCTATGTCTCATTTGATTGTCACCTGAAATTATAAGCGTCGTCCTTGCTCATAGCCTGTCCTACAGGATACAGACTTTGCAGTTTTCACACACAAGTCTGGCCCTCTAAATGTTGGCCGCATATCATAAAAAGAGTCATGATTGTTTCTTCCTCAGATCACTTTCGCCGCGTAAAAGTTTGTCATGTTCATGATATAATTAAGACCTCTAGATCGACCAGAAAAAAATGCATAAATAATGTTTTTGGTCATTTTCATAGCCTAAATATTGACCGATCAATAGGTAACAGGAACGAATATTGATGCTAAATTTTCGTTAGGATTGGTGTATAACTGTGACAGACGGACGGATTGATACACACATCTAGATCAAGTCAGCTAGTCGAGATATCTGTATAATATCTGTGGGGATAGGACCAAATTTCGGTCTTTTCAAAAAAATTGAAATAAATTCCACCTTGGCCCTTGAAAATTTTCCTTTTCAAAATTTTCCTTTCCCTGTATTGGTCTTTAAAAACGCTTTTTTGTTTCAAAAAATCCTTGAAATTTTCTTTTTCAAAAAATCCACTAAAAGGTCCAAGTAAATTTCCTTTTTCAAAACATGCATGCCAAAGTTCATAAGCTTCTTCTTTTTCAAAAACTCGAGGTTTTTCAAAAAAATATTTTTCTTTTCAATCCAGGCCTTTAATAGCTCTTACAAATTTTATTTTTAAATCAGTAAGAAAAGAAGTCGGACGAGGCCGACTATATGATACCCTTTACTACTTTGACTATATTCAAGAGATGCATCCTAACAGACTTCGCACTTTCGAAAGAACCATTACCATGAAATTCGACTAAGTTCAATATGTGATCTGTGTCTATATGAGAACCGAGAACCGGGTATATTTCTATCACCATGGTATGGAAAGTATATAAAGTTTGTTTTTCTATTTGTAACTCATCGAAATAATCATTTCCGACCCTATAAAGTATAGAAATTCTTGATCAGCGTATAATTCTATGACGTTTTACCAAGGACCAAATTGATATAGATCGCCAAAATTTAGCATAACGTTGTCTCCTGTGCAGGTCCAAAGATGAGCTTCTTGGTCTTGATCAGCGTATTATTCTATGACGATTGATATAGATCGCAAAATTTAGCATAATGTTGTCTCCTGTCTGCAGGTCCGAAGATGAGCTTCTTGGTCTTGATCAGCGTATTATTCTATGACGATTTACCAAGGTCCTAATTGATACAGATCGCCAACATTTAGCATAATGTTGTCTCCTGTTTGCAGGTCCGAAGATGAGCTTTATCGGTCTACGTACCAAATGCCTCCACTAAAAATTATTAATATCGATCCAATCGAATTCGCTGAAATTTGGTACAATGGGTTCTTATTGGGTACATCAACCGCACACATGCCCTCGGTAACCTATGGCAAATTCCATTTCATTAGGATATGAATCGGATGTACAAAATTTCGTGACAATCCGATTAAACTTTACTCTTTGGTGCACCATTTGCTTAAATTCGGACGAATATATATATATATATATATATATATATATGGGAGCTATATCTAAATCTGAACCGATTTAAATTTCAAAACTTGGTACACGTTAAGCTATCCTAACTTCAGTACGTTGTGCAAAAGTGCGCGCCAATTGGCCTCAATTTGACACTTTGGTGCGCCATTTGCTAAAAATCGGACGAACACATATATGGGAAAATTTATATGGGAGCTATATCTATATCTAAACCGATCTCTCCCAATTTCAATAGGGTTCGTCCCTGGGCCAAATAAATGATTTGTGCCAAATTTCATCTCATTGAACAAATATTCTTTAAAAAATACACCCCTTGAAAAATATTCCTTAAAAATTTACGCCTTGTGGTGACCCTTAATAAAATATTCCTTAAAAATTTACGCCTTGTATTGAACCTCAAAAAATATTATTTAAAAAATCCTCGCCTTCTATTGAAACTATAAAAATATTCTTCATAGAATCCATGCCTTCTTTAGGTTTGAAAAAATATAAAAAAAAAATAATTTTTTAACCTCCTTGCAGTATAGATTCATTTTTGAACTAAAAACAAAAAGATATACCAAATATCATACAACAACGAATAAAGTCTGACGGAGTAGATGTTTGCAACGCCGATTACGATGCATAAACTTTTTATAAACACATAATATTTCGAAATATTTATTTACCAACTTTTTCGCTTATTGCACCTTACAGATCTCATGGGAAACAAACTGAGTCAGGCATGGGAGGAACAAATTGAGAAAAGCAAACGTACAGGCAAAAATCCCAGTCTGATTAAGGCTACAGTAAAGGTTTTCGGTTTACATTATATGCTCTTGGGTATATTAATGTTTTTGTTCGAAATATTCCTAAGGTAAGTTTCAAGAAACATTCGGAAACATCCCAAGTATAACCGAAATTAAAAAAATTCTATTTCCCACAGATGTTCACAACCGTTGTTCTTGGGTGCCCTTGTCTCATACTATGCTGATCCCGAAACCGATAAAACAGATCAATCCAAGGCATTCTTGTATGCCTTGGGTGTGATTTTAACCAGTGCTGGTAGTGTACTCTTTATGCACCCGAATATGTTGGGCATTGTCCATATGGGTATGAAAATTCGTGTGGCCATTTGTAGTATGATTTATCGTAAGGCGTTGCGTTTGAGCAAGAGTGCCATGGTCAATACGACATCGGGGCAAATGGTGAATTTAATCTCAAATGATGTGGGTCGTTTGGATACATCGGTAATGCATATGCATTATGTATGGATTGGTCCGTTGGAAATATTTGTGGTTACCTATTTTATGTACAAAGAGGTAAAATACTGAAAATATTTAAATGTTTTACAAAAAAAGTTTTACATTTCTAATTTTTTTATTTATCTCTTCATAGATTGGTGCCTGTTCATTAATTGGCCTAGCCGTCATGTTGTTATTCGTTCCCATTCAGGGATTTTTGGGTAAAAAGACCTCCATTTTACGTCTACGCACAGCCTTGTGTACCGATGAACGTGTACGCCTCATGAACGAAATCATTTCCGGCATTCAGGTCATCAAAATGTATGCCTGGGAAATTCCATTCGGAAAAATGGTCGATTTTGCACGCCGCAAAGAAATGAAAGCTATCCGCTATGTGAATTATATTCGTGGTATTATCGGCTCCTTTATTATGTTCATATCGAGAATTTCGATCTTCAGTAGTTTGGTGAGTTATGTGCTATTGGGAAATTTCCTCACCGCCGAGAAGGCCTTTGTGGTTACAGCCTATTATGGTATCTTACGTATGACAATGACTGCCTATTTCCCCATGGCTGTGGCTCAAGTTGCCGAAACTCTGGTGTCATTCGGTAGAATACAGAAATTTATGTTACTGGATGAAGTGGAACATGCGGAAAAACCTGCAACTAATGGCAAGGTTATACCGGCTATTATTAGTGAAAATGGAAAGACCATTGACGTGAATACCGCACCCAGTAAAGAACCTGGTATTGTTCTTCAAAACGTGCGGGCCAAATGGAACCCAGAATCGTCGGAAAATAATTTGGAAAATGTATCGCTGGAGTTTAAGAGGAAGCAATTGATTGCTGTTATTGGTCCCGTCGGTTCGGGTAAATCAACGTGAGTACTGTGAAATTAGATTTTTAGGGTTTTCTATTCGATTTTTCTTATTAGATTTTTCTTAATTAATAAAAAATCAATTGTTCTTATTTCAGATTATCAGAAAATACACGCCGATAAATTTTTTAAAATTGTTTTATAGTCCTTAAAAAATATATTTTTTTTTAAATCCTCCCTTAAATAAAATATTTTCTTAAAAAAACTATATTTTTCTTAATTAATAAAAAAATCATCATTTGTTCTTATTTCAGTTTAATTCAAACCATATTGGGAGAGTTGCAACCTACCTCTGGTTCCGTCACAGTCAACGGCACAGTGGCATATGCCTCACAAGAACCATGGCTTTTCACCGGTACCGTACGTCAAAATATTCTCTTCGGTCAACCTATGGACAAGAAACGTTACAATTTAACCGTTAAGAAATGTGCCCTCGAAAGAGATTTTGAATTGTTGCCCTATGGCGATAAGACGATTGTTGGAGAACGTGGTGCCTCATTGTCTGGTGGCCAGAAAGCTCGTATTAATTTGGCTCGTGCCGTCTATCGTCAAGCTGACATTTATCTCTTGGATGATCCTCTCTCAGCTGTAGATACACACGTTGGGCGCCACCTGTTCGATCAATGTATGCGTCAATATTTGAGAGATCGTATTGTAATTCTCGTTACACATCAGCTGCAATTTTTGGAACAAGCTGATGTGATTGTCATTTTGGATAAGGGCCAGGTGAGGGCTGTGGGCACCTATGAATCTATGCGTCAAAGTGGTTTCGACTATGCCAAACTGCTGTTGCACAAAGGTGATGAGGACGATGGAGAGGATGGTGCCGATTCGGATAATAATAAAATCGATGATGATCAGGATGCCCAAAAAATGAAACGTCAAAATAGCAAGGCTAGGCAAAGGCAAATTAGTGTTACCTCTGTTGCCTCAACGGTGGAATCGTTGCAAGATGCGGCGGCGCCCAAGCAGGTTGAGGAAACCCGAGAACAAGGCAAAGTTGGTTGGAACTTGTACAAGAAATATTTTGGCAGCAGTGGAAGTGTGTTAATTGTGGGCTTATGGATGTTCTTTTGTATTGGAGCTCAGGCATTGGGTTCGGCTGGTGATTATTTCTTGTCGTATTGGTAAGTTGAAGAAAATTTAATGTTTCTACAAAAATTCAAAATTTTCTTTCTTTTTTCAGGGTAAACAAAAACGAGAATAAATTACACGACTTGGATGCCCGTGTCGAAGTGCAAACCGATCCCGTTGATATTTACATTTTCAGTGCCATAAATATTGCGATTATTATCTTTGCCATGTCCCGTAGTGTTATATTTTTCAATTTGGCTTCGAAATCTTCCACCCGGCTGCACAATAATATGTTTGTCAGTGTCACCCGTGCCAGCATGTATTTCTTCAATACAAATCCATCGGGTCGTATTTTGAATCGTTTCTCCAAGGATATGGGTCAAGTAGATGAAATTTTGCCACAAGTCATGATTGATGTTATACAGATTTTCCTATCGCTTTTGGGTATTGTCGTTGTGCTGTGTCTGGTCAATCCCTATTATATAATTGTCACCGTGGTAATGATCGTCATATTCTATTATATCCGATCGTTCTATTTGAAAACGTCGCGGGATGTTAAGCGTTTGGAAGCTATAAGTAAGTATTCATATAACATATCAAATGTGGTGGTCCTTGAAAAAATATTCTTTACAAATTGTGGTCTTTAAAAAATATTCTTTAAACAATCCAAGCCTTGTGCTGGTCCTTGAAAAATGTTTCTTAAAAAAATCCACGCCTTGTGTTGGTCCTTGAAAAAATATTCTTAAAAAAATCCACGCCTTGTGTTGGTCCTTGAAAAAATATTCTTTAAAAATCCACGCCCTGTGTTGGTCCTTGAAAAAATATTCTTTAAAAATCCACGCCCTGTGTTGGTCCTTGAAAAAATATTCTTTAAAAATCCACGCCCTGTGTTGTGTTGGATCCTTGAAAAAATATTCTTAAAAAAATCCACGCCTTGTGTTGGTCCTTAAAAAAATATTCTTAGAAAAATCCACGCCTTGTGTTGGTCCTTGAAAAAATATTCTTAAAAAATCCACGCCTTGTGTTGGTCCTTGAAAAAATATTCTTTAAAAAATCCACGCCTTGTGTTGGTCCTTGAAAAAATATTCTTTAAAAAATCCACGCCTTGTGTTGGTCCTTGAAAAAATATTCTTAAAAAAATCCACGCCTTGTGTTGGTCCTTGAAAAAATATTCTTAAAAAAATCCACGCCTTGTGTTGGTCCTTGAAAAAATATTCTTAAAAAAATCCACGCCTTGTGTTGGTCCTTGAAAAAAATTCTTAAAAAAATCCACGCCTTGTGTTGGTCCTTAAAAAAATAATCTTAAAAAAATCCACGCCTTGTGTTGGTCCTTGAAAAAATATTCTTTAAAAAATCCACGCCTTGTGTTGGTCCTTGAAAAAATATTCTTTAAAAAATCCACGCCTTGTGGTGGTCCTTGAAAAAAAATATCCTTTAAAAATATTGGTACTTGAAAAAATATTCTTTAAACAATCCACCCCTTGTGGTGGCCCTTGAAATTTTTTTTTTTTTTAATTCAAGCCTTACGGTGGTCCTTGAAAAAAAATATTCTTTAAAAAATACACGCCTTATGGTGGTTTTTTATTTATTTATTTTTTTAAATCCACGCCTTATGGTGGTCCTTGACAAAATATTCATTAAAAAAATCCACGCCTTGTGTCAATGCAAAAATATTTTTTAAATCCTCGACTTGTGTCGATCTTTGAAATTTTTTTTTTAAATTCCACTCCAATATGTTCTAATCACATTATTTGATGTTCTATTTTTCAGCCCGTTCCCCCATCTACACCCATTTGGGAGCTTCTCTCAATGGCCTTGCCACCATTCGTGCCTTTGAAGCCGAGGAAATTCTTATCCACGAATTCGATAACTATCAAGATCTGCACAGTTCCGGTTTCTATATGTTCCTGTCGACAACACGTGCTTTCGGCTACTGGCTGGATTGTTTCTGTGTCATTTACATTGCCATTGTTACCCTTAGTTTTCTACTCTTCTCCCCGGAAAATGGTGGTGATGTCGGCTTGGCCATCACTCAGGCTATGGGTTTAACTGGTATGGTCCAATATGGTATGCGTCAATCGGCTGAACTGGAAAATAATATGACCTCAGTGGAACGTGTTGTGGAATATGAATCCATCGAACCCGAGGGTGAACTTGAGTCGGAACCCAATAAGAAACCACCAAAATCATGGCCCGAACAGGGTAAAATTGCCTTTGAAGATTTATGTTTGCGTTATGCTCCCGATCCCAAATCGGAATATGTTTTGAAATCATTGAACTTCGTTATCCAGCCATTTGAAAAAGTTGGTATTGTGGGTCGTACCGGTGCAGGAAAGTCTTCGTTAATTAATGCCCTATTCCGTTTGTCCTTCAATGATGGTTCCATTGTCATTGATAAGAGAGATATTGAACAGATGGGCTTGCATGATTTGAGATCGAAGATATCGATTATTCCCCAGGAACCTGTGCTGTTTTCTGGTACAATGCGTTACAATTTGGATCCATTCGAAGAATACTCAGATGCCAAGTTGTGGGAGGCTTTGGAGGAGGTAAGCGGGATAGTTGAATAAAATAAAAAAATTATAAACTTATTAATTTCATTATTTCCCCTCCAGGTCAAACTCCGGCAAGTTGTGGCCGATATGCCCAATGGCCTGCATGCCACAATCTCCGAAGGTGGTGCCAACTTCAGTGTGGGCCAGAGGCAATTGGTGTGCTTAGCTCGTGCCATTCTTCGTGAAAATCGCATATTGGTTATGGATGAAGCCACCGCCAATGTCGATCCCCAGACTGATGCCCTCATTCAAACTACCATTCGCCATAAATTCCAAGACTGTACTGTACTCACAATTGCCCATCGTCTACACACCATCATGGATTCCGATAAGGTTTTGGTTATGGATGCCGGTCGTGCTGTTGAATTCGGCTCACCCTATGAACTGCTTACCCAATCAAAGGTTGGCATCTTCCTCGGTATGGTTCAACAGACCGGTCAGGCTACTTTTGATAATTTATTCAAAGTCGCCCAAAAGGCCCACGAGGATAATTTACAAAAGAAAAAGGACCAATAGATAGATGGATAGATATAAGATGCGACGACTCACATAACCACCGGCCAGTCTGGCAAAAGATTTTTTTTCAGGGGGAAGATGGAGAAAAATAGGAACAATAACGCGAACAAATCTAAATGCAAATATTGTATAAAAAATAAACAATGTTATTGTCTGTTCTCTTCTGCTTTTATCTTCCATCTCCCTCTCTTGCCAGTTTAGCATTTGTTTTTGTAAAATATTAAACATGATTTTTAGTTTTTTTTCTTTTTATTTTTCTTAGGTTAAGTAACTTAACTCATAAGTTCAGTTGTAATGAACCTAAAATAAGTTTATATGTATATAATAATGTCGACAAAGGAAATTATTATTTATGTATTTGATTAAGTATCACAAACGACTAAAAATATAAGCTAATTTAATAAATTATTATAATAAAAAAATTGATAAAAAATGATTTTTAATTTATAATTACATTTTTCAATTTTCAACAAAGGTCTGGATATTTTAAATATCATTTTTTCAACATCCTACAGAGGCATGGATTTTTTAAATAAATTTGTTTTCAACATCCTACAGAGGGTATATTTGTTCTTAGTGGAGGGTATATTAGTTTTGTTTTTCCGTTTGTAACTCATCGAAATAATCATTTCCCTATAAAGTATATATATTCTTGATCAGCATAAATTTCTATGACGATTTAAGCATGTCTATCTGTAGTAATCAGGTCGCCAACATTTTAAATTCGTCTTTTGTCTGCAGGCAGGTCTAGTTCGAAGATGGGCTACATCGGTCCACGTTTTGCAATAGCTGTCATATTAGGGTACGCCCCAAATTTCTTTGTGCATATGTTTTTAAAAGGCAAAAGGAAACGAAATAGAGACATGGTTCCTTTTGAGAATATGCATAGAATCACTTTTTTAATCGATTTAGGCATGTCCGTCTGTCCATGTTAAATTGTAAACAAAGTACAAGCCGCATTTTTAATTCAAATTGGATGAAATTTAGCACAGCTCATTTATTTGGCCCAAGGACGAATCCTATTGAAATTGGGAAAAATCGGTTCAGATTTCGATATAGCTGCCATATATATTTCCGTCCGATTTAATGTAAATGGTGTACCAATGTCCCTATATATCGTTCGATTTGCACGAAATTTAGCATAGCTTAATGAATTATGTCTAGAATGATGTGTGTTATGTTTCCTGGAAATCGGTCCAGATTTAGATATAGCTCCCATATATATTTTCATCCGATTTAAGGTAAGTGGTGCGCCAAAGTCCCTAAATATCTTTCGATCTGCGCCAAATTTGACATCGCGTACTTAATTAAGTCTACAGTGATGTGTGTCAAATTTCGTTAAAATCGGTTCAGATTTTGATTTAGCTCCCATATATATTTCCTCCGATTTTAGGTAAATAGTGCACCAAAGTCCCTTTATATCCTTTGATTTGAACGAAATTTGGCACAGCTTACTAAATTGAGTTCAGAATGATGTGTGCTAAATTTCGTGAAAATCGGTTCAGATTTAGATATAGCTCCTATATATATTTTCGTCCGATTTTAGGTAAATGGTGCACCAAAGTCCCTATATGTCCTTCGATTTGAACGAAATTTGTTACAGCGAACTAAATTAAGCCTAGAAAGATGTGTTCTAAGTTTAGTGAAAATCGGTTCAGATTTGAATATAGCTCCCATATATATTTTCGTCCGATTTTAGGTAAATAGTGCACCAAAGTCCCTTTATATCCTTTGATTTGAACGAAATTTGGCACAGCTTACTGAATTGAGTTCAGAATGATGTGTGCTAAATTTCGTGAAAATCGGTTCAGATTTAGATATAGCTCCTATATATATTTTCGCCCGATTTTAGGTAAATGGTGCACCAAAGTCCCTAAATATCTTTCGATTTACACGAAATTTGGCACAGGTATATATTAGTTTTGTTTTTCCGTTTGTAACTCATCGAAATAATCATTTCTGACCCTATAAAGTACATATATTCTTGATCAGCATAAATTTCTATGACGATTTAAGCATGTCCGTCTGTCCGTCTGTCTGTTGCAATCGCTCTAGCGTCTTTACGAATTGCCATTGACATTTTACATAGATTCGTCTTTTGCCTGCAGGAGGTATAGTTGGGCTATATCGGTCCACGTTCAGGCATAGCTCCCATATTAGGGTACCCCCAATTTTCAATAGTATGGGGTTCTTGAGCGCGCTTTTCAACCGAATTGACTGAAATATATCAAATATATCCACTAAAAATTATAAATATCGGTCCATTTTTACGGGAAGCCCCCATATAAGGGTACCCCCAACTTTCGATATTATGGGGTTCTTGAGCGCGATTTAGAATCGAACTCGCTGTAATTTGGTATTAAGTAGTCGTATATGGTAACAAATCGCCCTACCAAAAATTATTAATATTCGCCCCCCTTTTTTTGTATTAAAATAGCTAGATGATTAGTACCGTGTGTTGGGGTTGTTCCCATATATGCGTATTCTACATTAGTGTAGGGAATGGTCTTTACTCGAAATGTTTAGTTTTTACCCTACAAAGTATGGAGTTTCAAGACGATTTATCCATTGTTTGTAGTCATTCCGCTTTCTAAGGATATCGTTATAAAAAAAACTCGATCCTGGCTATAAAGAAATATATCGTCCAGCATTTAGGCATCTCTCTCATATAATTACATCTGCTGAAGGAAAGAATTGAAATACAAAACTAAAATATTGGGTTCGAAATAAATCGGTCATTAATTAGGCATAGTTCTCATACACTGTGTAATCAGTATTGGTCCCCCTTTAGGCATAGCATCATATATCGTTGCATTATAAATTACAGTAGTCCGGGGATTTTATATTCTACCATGCGTTATCAGTATCAGTCCACGTTTTGGGGTTTTCAGATATTAGAAAAATCCCCATTAAAAATTGTATTTGGTGTACATAATGATTTACATAAATCGTTTTTTAGAATTATCGGTATAGACCCACTTTTTGGTATGTTCCCTATATTTTCATTGCAGGTATACCTATGATGGAGGGTATCCAAAGTTCGGCCCGGCCGAACTTTACGCTTTTTTTCACTTGTTTTTTTTTTATATTTCATATAAAGAAATTTAATCGGTATGCCGATTAGTCAAAACTACCGCAAATTTTTCTCAACAGAATTTATTTTAATGACCACATTTCTATTCGTTCGAAAGCATTGAGGTGTTAGAAGTTAATTTTATGTATAGAAATATAACTGTTGACCCTTCTGGTTTGATAATTGTCAATGCTACATATTTCGAAGTTTCTTAACCCCCAACAATTACCTATATCCGTATTTGACTGTAGTATTAAAAGGCGATCGACTTATTGCTATGAAAAATATATGTTGTTGTAATACGCCATCAAAGTATATGTTACTCAACCCAGCTAACATTTTTCGAAAATTTTAATCATAATCGAGTCTTTTTTAATACTGCTGGAAGATTAAAATGCTCGAATATGAGCGCATTTTCTGATCGTAATTGACTCAGTCGTCGGGAGAAAAGTGCGACCCGGCACGAGTCCTCTGTATCAATCAAATATGAGTCTTCCTCGGCATTAGATTCGAGTAATTTTTAACTTTTTTCTAATAATTTTAAGGGTCTTTTTCGAATCATTTTTTAAACACTTTTTATCCATTTTTAATTAATTTGTGACACTATTTCGAGTCTTTTTTAAGTAATTTTTAAATACGTGATTTTTAAATAAATAAAAATAAATATATTAAGTTTTGATTTTAATGTTTATTTATTACAAACATTAAAAAAAATAATTTCATTTATTCATTTTATATTAATAATCAAAAATTAATTAATTTTGTATAACTAAATAAGTAAAAAATTTAGTATAATTAATATATTTTATAAAAGTTATTAAATATATCAAATATATTGTTAATAATACATATACAAATAATTTACCCCGTCTGCATGTAGAAAATTCTGTTGATGAATACTGTTCACTTCTTTATCGTTACCGATGACAAATATCTGAAAAGAAATATATATTTTTCGTCTTAATAAAAACCTTATATGTTTGAAAAATTAACTTACTTTTGATTGCCGTTGCTATAAACAATTTTTTGCGCTAGCCTTAGATCAGGTTCCCTTCAGTTGTCTTGCGTAGGTAAGCCATCTGAGAACACCTTCCGAACTGCAGCTCCAAGAAATTGAGCACGCCATGGTTTCTTCCAATAACATCTTTCTGAAAATAAATTATAATGAATTTCGTTAGTTTAGTTAATTTAGTTGATTAATTATCAAATCACATTAACTCACCTTTTAATACTTTTGTTTCACTTCACTAAAAATTGATATTAACACCTCCACTTAACATTTATAAATGAGCAGAAATTAAAATTTTCTCCAGTAAATGCAAAAAATGTCTTGTTTTACTTGGAAGAAAACAAAACAAACAGGTTTTAATCACCCATCTGTGCAAAATGTGATCAGAGAATACACAATTCTAATCACTTTTCAAACATCTGCATGCTCTTTTTTTGATTAAGCCCTTTTCAATCTCCAGATGATCAAAATATGATGACAAATAACGGAACAAACAGTCATATTTTACACACATTGATGATTGTTTTTTTACACACATTGATGATCAGTTTTTAATCACCAAAGGACTCTTTCAAGACTCCCTACGGTGATTTTTTCAAAAACGATCTTCCAAATGCTAGCTGGGTTAAACAACTTGTATGTGAGTGAAAACTACTCAAACATGTTTGAAGCGATTGTTTTTGTGTTATCGCTCCCTCTCTCGCCATCTCTTTCTCTCAGCCAAAACAACACACGTGAACTAAAAATTTTTGTTTATTTACTTAAACTATTATCTAACAAATGCTGACAACAAAAATGAAAAGAGTTAATATATTTCAGCATTTTTTCTCTCCCTCTATTAAGAGAAACTCTTTTAATACATTTACAAATTTGTATATTTATGCTCTTTACTGTGTGTTTAGCAAGAGTAATTGTTGAAGTAGACTCGCACATTTTGTGTTTGATAATTTAGTGACATAAAAATGCTACAACAATACCCATACATCGTATTAACCAAATTATCGACACAGTGTTCGGCATATATATTAATTTTTTGTAAGAATTTTCTGCCTTTTTTAAAGAATTGTTTTCAGCACCCCAAAGAGGGGAGGATTTTTTTAAAGTGGCGTGCATGTATGTCTTAAGAATTTTTTTAGCTCCAAACAGAGACGTGGACTTTTTAAAGATTTTTTTTTAATACAAAAAAAGGCGTGGATTTTTTCAAGATTTTTGTAATGCCCCGAAGTGGCGTGGTTTTTTGTAACACCATTTTTTCAGCATTACAAAAGGGGCGGATATTGTTTACATATTTTTTTAAACATCCCAAAGAGGCAGAGGTTGTTCCCACTATTTTTATACCCTCCACCATAGTATGGAGGGTATATCAGTTTTGTTTTTCCGTTTGTAACGCATCGAAATAATAATTTCCGACCCTATAAAGTATATATATTCTTGATTAGCGTAAAATTCTATGACGATCTAAGCATGTCTGTCTGTCTGTTGTAATCACTCTAGGGTCTAAACGTATTGAGATAGAGCGCCAAAATTTTGCATAGAGTAGTCTTTTTCAGGCATGTCAAGTTCGAAGTTGGGCTATATCGGTCCACGTTTAGACATTGAGATAGAGCGCCAAAATTTTGCATAGAGTAGTCTTTTTCAGGCATGTCAAGTTCGAAGTTGGGCTATATCGGTCCACGTTTAGACATATCTCCCATATAAGGGTACCCCCAAATTTTCAGTATTTTGGGGTTCTTGAGCGCGTTTTTCAACCGAATTCGCTGAAATTTGGTAAAATGGGTTCTTTTTGGATACTAAATTTTTCCACTAAAAATTATAAATATAGGTCCACTTTTTCTGGTAGCCCCCATTTAACGATACCTCCCAATTTTCAGTTTTTGGGGGGTTTTGACCGGATTTTTTTCACCGAATTGGCTGTAATTTAGTACTTTGAATTGTTATTGGGTATCAATTCTCTCCGCAACAAAATTATAAATATAGGTAAATTTTTTCGGGTAGCCCTCATATAAGGGTACCCCCAATTTTCGGTATTTTGGGATTCTTGAGCAAGGTTTTCAACCGAATTCGCTGTAATTTGGTATTTTGTAGTCGTATATGGTAACAAAACTCCCTACCAAAAATTATTAATATTCACGCCCGTTTTAGGGGCAGTCCCCTTATTTTTCCGTGTGTTGGGGTTATCCCATATATCTGTATTCCATCATAGTAGGGGGGGGGGGGGGGGGGGGGGGGTTATTCGGTAGACGGAATTTTCAGTTCATACCCCACATAGTATGGAATTCTAAAACGACATGGTCGATTTAGCCATATGTTGTAATCATTTTTCTCTCGGAGGATATCGACATAAAAACTAAAACGTGAGGTTTGAGAATGAACTGTATCGACCCACATTTAATATCAGGTCCTATATAAAACATTTTAAAATGAAAACACCAAGTAGTTGCTAATTCCTACACAATGCTGTCAATATTGGTCCCGTTAATAATATATGTCAACATTTTAGGGTTTTGAGGTTTTAGGAAAACCACCATTAAAATTGCTGAATTCTCTATGAATTCTGATTTGTTCCGCGTTTTGAGTTTGGTTCTAAAACTCTGTTGTAATCATTTCACCTGCGGAGGCTAGCGAGATAAAAAATTTATGTTCGATAATGAACATTTAGACCTAGTGCCTGTGTGGAGGTTCCAGAGAGTGGACCGATATTAACCATCTTCGAATTTGAACTAAGTTTGGAAGAAACAATAAGATGGGCAAAGTGTGGATGAAATCTAAATTTTCGGAAACGGATTTGATCCATAGAAACATGGGGTCTAAAACCAATATTTCGATGAGGCATATTTTCACCGTGTTAAAGTGTATACACCCGCATTAGCCATTAGGCTGAGGGTATAATTATCCATTAAAAAATTCTGAAATTTGTATGATGGTTAACATTATACACTGCGTATCATAACTATAGACACACCCTTAATTCAATTGGTATGTTAGTTGACAAATAAAATGGACCCATTAAGTTATTGTTCACAATAAAACGATCAAAAACACATATTATTCCACAAAAATAATTAATTTATTCTTTATGGTTTCGCCGAATTCTGCCCTTTCAAAATTGCTGGTGTTGCATAACTATAGACGCACTTTTACAAAATTAGAAAAAATTATTTTTTAAAACTTAAATAAAATAAAATAACTTTTATAAATAATGGGTAGGGCCTTCCTTATTTTGAATAAGTTCAAAAATTTTATCCATCACACTGTTGATCAAAATTATTCGCAAGTCTTCATCGATTGACCGCCATTCATCGATAATCACTTCTTGGAAATAAAATAATGTTTGGTATTGGCTGTTTTCTGCATAGACACGACGAGTCATAAATCCACACATGTTCTCGATCGGATTCTGGTCGGAAATTTTAATATTTTTCGATTTTAACCATACTTGAGTATGACCACTTTTATGAACTGGTGCGTTGTCCTGCTAAAAAACGAGTCCTTGATTGTTGCTGCTTTCCCAAAATGGCAATAATTTGTCTTCCAAGACTTGAACGTACTCCATTGAATTCATCCGACAACATGGAAATGTCAAATAATGGCTATAAAATGCTCCCAAGGCCATTAAGGAACCGCCACCGAAATATCGTTATTTCTTAATACAATATTTCGGTGGCGGTTCCTTCCCACCTTGGGAACATTTTATAGCCACGGAATGCTTTATTTGACATTTCCATGTTGTCGGATGAATTCAATGGAGTACGTTCAAGTCTTGGAAGACAAATTATTGCCATTTTGGGAAAGCAGCAACAATCAAGGACTCGTTTTTTAGCAGGACAACGCACCAGTTCATAAAAGTGGCCATACTCAAGTATGGTTAAAATCGAAAAATATTAAAATTTCCGACCAGAATCCGATCGAAAACATGTGTGGAATCTTGACTCATCGTGTCTATGCAGAAAACCTCCAATACCAAACTGTATTTTACCTCCAAGAAGTGATTATCGATGAATGGCGGTCAATCGATGAAGACTTGCGAATAATTTTGATCAACAGTGTGATGGATAAAATTTTTGAACTTATTCAAAATAAGGGAGGCCCTACCCATTATTATAAAAGTTATTTTATTTTATTTAAGTTTTAAAAAATAATTTTTTCTAATTTTGTAAAAGTGCGTCTATAGTTATGCAACACCAGCAATTTTGAAAGGGCAGAATTCGGCGAAACCATAAAGAATAAATTAATTATTTTTGTTGAATAATATGTGTTTTTGATCGTTTTATTGTGAACAATAACTTAATGGGTCCATTTTATTTGTCAACTAACATACCAATTGAATTAAAGGTGCGTCTGTAGTTATGATACGCAGTGTATGTAGCAATGTTTTTTTTTATTGTAAACAACAAATTTAATAATTTCCATATTATCAATTCGGCAATATGGTAAAAACAGAACCATCGAGGAACCAATTCAATTACACACCTTGAATATTGTAATCACGCCAAAATAATTCAAATAGAGGCGTATTATCTAAGATAAATGCGAATGGGGGTTATTTTATGATCCGAGGTGGTTTTGTATTTTTTTGGTAAAATCACTATTCAGTTGGCTTAGGGTGGCGATTCGGTGCAGATTGCGAAATAGAACGAACGTCGGCAAGTGAAAATTTAATAGTTTTGAGAAAATATTGGAAATCTGTGGAAAGAAAACAAAAAATACATATTAAATGTGTGATCGTTGAAATTGAAAAATAAAAGAGAATTTAAAAAGGAAAATAAATATTGAAAATTTTGTGAAAAGGAAACATATTCGAAATAAGTGCTAAAAGTGAAGAAAATTAAATTATTTCAAAATGCAATCCTTCAAGGCAGATGAACTGCCGGAGAATCCGCGCGAATCTTCAAATCCTTTATCGTCGTTAATGTTTTGGTGAGTTTTCTTATCGTTTACGGAAAACTTTTGCGGTGAAATAGTGTAGAATAATTGATAATCATTGATATGATAATAGATTCAATTAAACATAATTACATTTGTTCAAATCCAATATATGACCCTCGGTTTTTGAAATAGCAAATAAAATAAAAAAAATTAAAATTCAAGTGTTATTGTTAGCGCCGCTCACACAAAATTTATTTTATTTATGACAAAAGCAAAATAGGATTTGGTACCAAAAAATATATAATATAATAAATAAAAAATCTTCAAATAAATTAAATAAAAATAAACGCTGTAGATAATCCTTGAAAAAAAATGAATTAAAAAATCGCCGTTTAGATAGTTTAGATTGTAAACACAGTAAATGCCACATTTATGGACCAATCGGTAATCGGAAATGTAGGTTCGAAGAACCCTATTTTTGGTAAAGATTGGTTAATATTTATCAAATTATCAAATGAACCAAAAACCTTATTGTTGTATGTTTTTTTCTGGCCGTTCTAGAGGCCACAATTATGACCCGAACGTCAGAATTGACGAAAACAAGCATTGTTCCTTTTATGATAATCGGTATTTATTTATGAAAAAGTTGCATTCCATGGTGTGTATATTTCTATTCTGATATTATTAAGTATTTCTATATCCATGTCCTGATGATCGCTTTGGAATTGTACATGAAATTCCGTTTATGGTCAAGCACGACGCCTATAATATTCAGTGATGATCAGCTAGTATTTAGAGGAAAAAATAAACCGAAAACTTTATTTTGTATGGGTTCTCCAGTCGCTATAGAGGCCACTACTACAAGGCGAACATCATAACAAGAGAAGGATATCTGACCAACTAATTAATATTAATGTTTTGATAATGATCGGTCAATACTTAACAGGTCAAATGAGCCACGATTTTGTGTGTAAAATAACAAAATATAAGTCTTATTATGGCATGGTAAGGAAGAAGAGCAGATGACATCGCGAAATATTTTCCAGATGCGAAATATGGATCCACTGAGAATTAAAGTTCAGTGGTAGTTGTGTAGGCTATCACTGCTTCGCCTACTGGTGAAAATAAGATTGTTTATGTTTTACTTATGGATTTTAAATTATTTTTTCGGAAAAGTACATTTATTATCTTAATTTTTCATTGACTATCTGAGTACGGAGTTTTTATACCTTCCACCGACCGAAAATGCTATAATTTAACATTTCGAAAAATTGTCATTATAGGTTTTAAAAAATGAGGCTATTAGTAAAGAAAATACTTTTCATTATAGGCCATGTTGGTAAAAACATACAGAGGTCCCGCTTAATTTTAGCCTAGCCTTATCTAATTTTTCATCCTTATTGTCTACTAGCATATACCCGCTACTTCGTTAGCGAATGTGGGATGTATTTAAAACCATCCTATATCGACCATTATTAAAATTTAAGAACCATTTAGTACCATAGTATGTTCTCAAATATACCTCTGTATCTCAACCCTACACACCCATTCCGACCGCAGCAGAAATGTACCTCTATACTAAATTTGGTGTAATTTTTACCATTTGTACTCTTGTTATACTTATTTTGAAAAAAAAATCACCCAAATCCAAATTGAGTATCAGTTAGTGCACATTAATATAAATTTCCATAACTACCTACTTTAGCAATCATAAGTACGAATTTCCAACACTTCCCACATACCTTAATCTTAATTCCAAATTTCAGGATTCTATCGGTTCACTTAGAACACATAAGTAAAAATTTCCATTTCTACCTACATCATGCAATCAAATTGAAATCATGAATTAGATAAAATCTTAATTATAATCCAAATAGTATCAAATTTAGAACACAGTAGTACGAATTTCCAAAACTTCCTACTTAACCCAAACATGCACTCCCACAGTGATCCTAAATCCAAGTTTCAGGATTCCAACTCTATTGGTTCACCCACAATTCAAATTGTAGCAAATTTAGTACATAGTTGTACCAATGTCCAAAACTTCCTACATACCTCAATCCTACACCCGCACAGTCATCCTAAATGCAAGCTTCAGGATTCCAACTCTATTGGTTCACCCACAATTCAAATTGTACCAAATTTAATACGTAGTTGTACCAATGTCCAAAACTTCCTACACCCCCACAGTCATCCTAAATCCAAGTTTCAGGATTCTAACTTTATCGGTTGACCCACAATTCAAATTGTACCAAAGTTAGTACACAGTAGTACCACTTTCCAAAACTTCCTACATACCTCAATCCTACATCCCCACAGTGATCCTAAATACAAGTTTTTGGATTCCAACTCTATAGGTTCACCCACAATTCAAATGGTACCAAATTTAGTACACAATAGATCGAATTTCCAAAACCTCCTTCTTACCCCAAACCTACACCCCTACAGTGATACTAAATCCAAGATTCAGGGTTGCAACTCTATCGGTTCACCCACAATTCAAATTGGACTAAATTTAGTACATAGTAGTACCAATTTCCAAAACTTCCTACATACTCCAATCCTACACCTCCACAGTGATCCTGAATCAAAATTTCAGGATTCAAACTTTATCGCTTCACCCACAATTTAAGTTGTACCAAATTTAGTAACATTAGTACAAATTTCTAAAACTTCCTACATATTTCAATCTTACACCTCAACAGTGATCCTGACTCCAAATTTCATGATTCTAGCTCTATTGGTTCACCTAAAATTCAAATTGTACCAAATTTAGTATCATTTAGTACCCATAAGTATTATTTTCTTAAACTGAATCCTGACCCTAATCCTACATCCCTACAATGACCCTATCTCCAAACTTCATTGTTCCAGCTCTATCGCTTCACTCAAATCCAAATTGTATCAATTATAGTACGATTTAGTACTTTTTATACACATAAGTAAAAATTTCCAAAACTACGTGCATATCCCAATCCTACACTCCGACGGATCCCAGCTCGATTTGTACCTCCAAATCAAATTTGTACCAAATATAGTACCATATAGTACTTTTCGTACACATGAGTACACGCTTTCCAAACTCTCCTCATATCTACCCTACTTCTCAACGCTATTTTACATTCCAAATTTCAAGTTTTTAGCTCAATCCATTCACATGCTACGAAATTGTACCAAATTTAGTACATTTTCGTACTTTTCGGATAGTTATAGTTCGAATTTCCAAAAACCCTTTAGTACATCTATCCTACAGTCAATCAACGACCACCAACCCAAATTTCAGAGTTCTAGCTCCACCAGTTCGCCAAAAACAAATGGTATCACATTTAGTACTTTTCCTACCGTTCTAGTACGAATTTCCAAAAAACCCAGCCTTATCTGTCACCTTTGGACCAAGAGTGACCCTCACCCAAAACTTCAAGATTCTAGCTTCAGCCGTTTCGTCTGGCCGTTGATGAATCGTTAAATCAGTAATCGTTACTCTTTTATTAGTATAGTATTAGTACTTTTCGTACCGTTCTAGTACGAATTTCCAAAAACCCAGCCTTATCTGTCACATTTGGGCCAAGAGTGACCCTCACCCAAAATTTCAAGATTCTAGCTTCAGCCGTTTCGTCTGGGCGTTGATAAATCGTTAAATCAGTCAGTCAATCAGTCAGTCAGTGAATCACTTTACTATAGATAATTGGGTATTTAATATTTTGGGAATATAAACAAAGTATTAGTCGGCATATAAAGGTTCCTATTTTTAAAGAAATTTTGAATATGTGACTCATGGTGGAGGAACTTAAATACTTTATTACATGTTAAAAATAAAGTTTTAATGATAGTCTGTTGTGTACATGTTTCGAATAAATATTTTTTATGTGGTAGTGGATTTTTTTTCGATATTATTATATGGACTATTTTCATTAACATTTTTTCACATATACTCGTAGCAATATAAATCTCAATAATTTGGCGAATGTTTATCTAACTACCAACACCTATTAATATTTCATTAGAAACTTTTATAGATATGATTCCATCTATAGATTACGATTAATTAAACAACATTATCATTATTTTCGTGTTAATTTCAGTTTTACAATGCCGACATTTTTCAAGGGACGGAAAAAGGTGTTAGATGAATCAGATCTTTTTCGTGCCCTCAAAGAACATAAATCTGGTAAGTACATACACATCTATATCTACAAAGAAATGTCAAATCATTTTATGATTTCCTAAATAAAATATAATGTCAATGCTACTTTTTTCCAAGGTTAATAAACGTTTTTTTTAAATTAACTTTCCATTTCCATTATTATTACAACATTATGCAGACGTTTATTTCCTTCAAGTCAAATCAGACTATGTTTGTTATCTAAATTCAATTCAATTGTTATCTAAATTCTATTGGACTAAATAATTACTCAAATTGTACTCTAGGCATTGCTGATAAGATTATTTGATTTGGTTATTTTTGAGATTATAAATTGATTAGCAAAGTTTTCAAGTACCGATATTAGAGTGGGAGTTCCGTGAGAGACAGTAGAAAAAAAAGTGAACCACAATACATTCGAATGGACATTTATTTATACAATTGGCACTTGAAATAAAAGAAACACAGCAACTAGAACCTCCATCAATATTTACTCGAAAAAAACACACATTTTCTCGATTTATTCAGAAAGCCCATCTGCTCAATTGATAAAGTAATTTCATTTCTCGGGTTTTCGGCGATATCATAGGGATATTTGAACAACCTGTCAAACAAAAAATAATGACAAAAACGCAAAGAAATAGCTAAATTTGCAAATATTTAACATTTAATCTAAATTGATTTCCCAACATGATTTCACTTAGACATTATAGGTATTTACACTATGCGAGAAAGTGGTGCTTATGCTGTGACGTATCAGAAAAAAATCGTCTAAGAAATTTTTTAGATTTCTTGTAAAAAATGCACGAAAAAAAAACAGTTTGGTGCTCAATGAGTGGCTATAATATTTTAAACGGGCAAAAAGATAAATGGACCATAACTTACATTTTTGAAGTATGGTGTGATGACTTTTTTGCTGATTTCTCTAAAATTAATGAAAACAGTTTTGTTTGTGGCTATTGTAGGTTAAGGGTTCTCAATCAGATCAAATGAGGAATGTTGAGGTACCTCATTTTATTGAAACTGAATAGCACAAGACACGATTTTTGACTTCTAAATATTCTTTACAAATATAGCTCATTACATTTCAGATATGGTCCTCAAAGACAAGAAATGGTTTAATCGCCCTTATGAACCGAACTTAGATTGAAAATGACTAGTATCATCAAAATTCATATAAAGGTGACTATACCCATAGATTGAGACTTGGATTTTTGTAGGAATATAGGTACTCCAATGAGAACCTCAAAACCCATTAAGAGCCAACTGGATTAAAATCTGTCTGTTCAGGGTAGCCACTATATGACGGTACTTCCAGTATGCGCTATTTTGGACATATTTTCCAACTAACTACACTGTAATTTTGTATTTGGAGTTCTCCTTGTACAACACATTTAAGTGTTGCCCTCATAATATAATACCACATTTGTTTAAGATAGGTTTTCGATCCAATTATACTGCATGAACACCAGATCGAAATAATATGTGTTCCCCTTTATGGAATTGGTGGCCCTGATTTGGCTCCCAATGTCTTCTAGTTGTCTCAATCGATGTTCCACCTTTTATAGTCATGAGGTGTATTGTACATTAAAATTGTCAATACAGAAATATCAACAGGAGACCCCATAAGGTATATATATTCATAATCAGGATATTTATACCCTTCACCACACTGTGGTACAGGGTATTATGTCTTTGTGCATATGTTTGTAACAGGCAAAAGGAAACGAGACACATGGTTCCTTTTGAGAATATGCAAATCCGTCTGTCCGTCCGTCTGTCCGTCCATGTATTTTTGTTAACAAAGTACAGGTCGCATTTATGATCCGATTTGGATGAAATTTGACACAGTTCACTTATTTGGCCCAAGGACGAACTCTATTGAAATTGGAAAAAATCGGTTCAGATTTAGATACAGCTCCCATATAAATTTTCGTCCGATTTTAGGTAAATAGTGCACAAAAGTCCCTATATATCCTTCGATTTGCACGAAATTTGTCATAGCGTATTGAATTAAGTCTAGAACAATGTGTGTTAAATTTCGTGAAAATCGGTTCAGATTTAGATATAGCTCCATATAAATTTTCGTCCGATTTTAGGTAAATAGTGCACCAAAGTCCCTATATATCCTTCGATTTGCACGAAATTTGTCATAGCGTATTGAATTAAGTCTAGAACGATGTGTGTTAAATTTCGTGAAAATCGGTTCAGATTTAGATATAGCTCCATATAAATTTTCGTCCGATTTTAGGTAAATAGTGCACCAAAGTCCCTATATATCTTTCGATTCACACGAAACTTGGCAAAGCGTTCTGTATTAGGTGCAGAGTGATGTGTGCTGAGTTTGGTGAAAATCGGTTCAGATTTAGATATAGCCTCCATATATATTTTCGTCCAATTTAAGGTAAATGGTGTACCAAAGTCCCTTAATATCTTTCGGTTTGCACGAAATTTGGCACAGCGTAATGAATTAGGTCTAGAATGATGTGTGTTAAATTTCCTGAAATCGTTGAAATCGGTTCAGATTTAGATATAGCTTCTATATCCGACCAAATGAAAAAATCAGTATAGGCTGCAGAATGACATGTTTATGGATCCAATTTAGTTTTGATGGTCCTTTTAAAATGCGACGTCTATTAGGATTCATGTTGAATATATCCAAAGTGGTGAAGGGTATCTTATAGTCGGCCCGCCCGACTTTACTGCTTTCCTTACTTGTTTTACCCTCCACCATGAATATCACAATTAAAATATCGAACATTAATAGGGCTCCTAGGAAAATGCCTATGATATGATAGGACCTTGATCATACTGAAAAAATTAGTGGATGAAATACCCAAGCATGCCAATATTTCACTGCAAACCAGTCCAGGACGTGCTTGCCTTCGAACGAACATCGGTCAAGATTGAATTCAATTCTTGAAAAAAATATAGGTTCCTAATACGCTCGTGAAAATCCAAACAAATTACAATAGTGATCCCCATGAGGCGGGGTGGGGGTACTTTTTTGGGGACGCTTTTTTACAAAACAGATCCAGGTTGAAAATCATCCTACTAAAATTATCATTATCACTTTTTCGGGAGAGTACCCCCCAGATTACGCTGTTACTACTGTATATTTTGGATATTCGGTTTTCCCTACAAAAATATTGGCCTATTTCCGGTTGGTTCACGTTTTTCAGACTAATTGATTTTAATTGGATTTTTCAGGATCTAATGGGGGATCAAATCTTTCTATCGAATATTATGAATATTGATTTCCCTTTTTGGCATAGCTTCCATATAACGACATGGGGCAATTTTCGGGTTTTTGAAGGCTTTGAGGGGGGAAATGCGACTATCCAACGGTTTTTGAAGGCTTTGAGGGGGGAAACGCGACTATCCAACGGATGTGACTGTACAACTATACACAAAATGATTAATATATATTATCATTGTAGTGGCTGTAACTTGTCATTCTGGGACATTGGAGAGTTAATCACTATTGTCTTTTTGTCCATATTTTGACATAGCCCACACATAAAAGTCCTGCCCAATTTAAATTTTTTTGTTTCTTTTTATACCCTACACAACTATGTTGTCAGGGTATTATAGCTTTGTGCAGCCCCAAGAGTTTGTAACGCCGCGAAATATTGGTCCTAGTATACCGATCGTCATATCTCGACTAGCTGAGTCGATCTAGACATGTGTGTTCGTCCGTCTGTCCATTATATTTTGTAAACACGATACAGGCCACACTTATGGACCAATCTTCACGAAATTTTGCATGTATGATGGGTTCTGGTCAATGAAGACCCCTATTGTTTTTGGTAAAGATCGGTCAATATTTAGGGAATGAAATGGACCAAATACTTAATTTTTGTCGGTTTTTCTGGTCGCTCTAGACGCCGCAATTATGACCCAAACATCGCGAATTTTTACATAGAGAAGGGGATCGGGCCAAAGAATAAGTATGCATGTTTTCATAAATATCGGTCAATATTTAGCGGGTCAAATAGACCGGAAATATAGCGCTGATCGCTTTTAAATTTTCCACGAGGTTCCGGTTATGGCCAAGGACAACGCTTATAACTTTCGGTGATGATCAGATTATAATTATGGGATGAAGTGGAGCGAATACTTATTTTTTTGGCATCGAGTCGATGCCAATAATAGGCTGAACATCACAACACAACCCACGGTGAAGGGAACCTGGACAATTAAATATAAGGGCTGTACTGAATATGAATAGTAATATTCGGAAAATATGTCCGCAGAAAGTTAGAATTCCGTGGTAGTTGTGTAAGGTATCGTATGGTCGGCCCTGTCCGACTATACTGCTCCCCTCACTGGTTATTAAATTATAAATCCGCCCTCGTATTCTGCCCACAATAAATGCAATATATTAGTTTACCTCTGAGTAATTCAGTGAACATAGTAGCATCATATATGAACTTTTATTTATTCTTTAATAAAAATATATCAACCCCGATTATCTTTTTATGATTATAATATAAATCGTATTACACCTATCCGCTGCTGAATAAAATAGTTAACAATGTTTACTTAAGCTGTATAAAAATGTCAGATTTTACTACACACAATAATTTATCGCCGCCACCATTCTTATCTCTCACTCTCTTCCTAATTTGTTTATGATAATTTAACAGATCTCATGGGCCACAAGCTGAGTCAGGCATGGGAGGAAGAATTGGCGAAGAGTCGTCGCAAAGGCAAAGAACCCAGTTTGGTTAAGGCCACAATAAAGGTCTTTGGCTTGCATTATATGCTGCTGGGTGTGCTGATGTTTTTGTTTGAAATATTTCTGAGGTAAGTAAGGGTAGAAAGGGTACATTCTATAGATGACAATATTAAAATCGATAACAAAATCTCTCGTTCAGATGTTCTCAGCCATTATTTTTGGGTGCCCTGGTGTCATATTATGCTGATCCCGACACAGATAAATCCGATCAAACCCAACCGTTTCTGTATGCCTTGGGTGTTATTTTGGCCAGTATTGGTAGTGTGGTATTTATGCATCCCACCATGTTGGGCATCGTCCATTCGGGTATGAAAGTTCGTGTGGCCATTTGTAGTATGATTTATCGTAAGGCATTGCGACTAAGTAAAACTGCCATGGTTAATACAACCTCCGGTCAAATGGTCAATTTAATATCAAATGATGTGGGACGATTGGATACCTCCGTTATACATATGCATTTTATATGGATTGGCCCTTTGGAAATAATTTTGGTTACATTTTTCATATATAAGGAGGTAAGGATACTCGAATTTACATATATTTTACCCATAGTTTTAAAAAATGTGATTCCTCTCACTTTCAGATTGGTCTAAGTGCCCTGATTGGTGTCATTGTAATGTTACTCTTTGTGCCCATTCAAGGCTACATGGGCAAAAAGACCTCCATGTTACGTCTTCGCACCGCCCTCTGCACAGATGAACGAGTACGCCTTATGAACGAAATCATATCCGGCATACAGGTCATTAAAATGTATGCCTGGGAAATACCATTCGGTAAAATGGTCGATTATGCTCGACGCAAGGAAATGAAAGCCATTCGCTATGTGAATTACATTCGTGGCATTATTGGGTCCTTCATTATGTTCATCTCGAGAATTTCCATCTTTAGCAGTCTGGTGGGTTATGTGCTGCTGGGAAATTTTCTTACCGCCGAAAAGGCTTTTGTGGTCACCGCATTTTATGGTCTTCTCAGAGTTACAATGACGGTCTATTTCCCCATGGCAGTGACTCAGATTGCCGAAATTATGGTCTCATTTCGTAGAATACAAAAATTTATGCTGCTGGATGAAGTGAAGATGTCGGAAAACCCTGCAGCCAAGGCGAAAATGATTCCGGCCATTGTTAGTGAAAATGGTAAAATTGTGGAAGTGAGAGCGGAACCCACGAAGGAGCCGGGTATTTTGATCAACAATTTAACTGCCAAATGGAATCCCGAGGCATCGGAAAATAATCTGGAAAATGTTACACTGGAATTTAAAGAGAAACAATTGATAGCGGTAATTGGACCCGTGGGAGCGGGTAAATCGACGTAAGTTCCAAATATTGAATTCTTTAAAAAAAATCCACGCCTTGTAGTGACCCTTGAAAAAAATATTCTTTAAAAAATCCACGCCTTGTAGTGACCCTTGAAAATAATATTCTTTAAAAAATCCACGCCTTGTAGTGACCCTTGAAAAAAATATTCTTTAAAAAATCCACGCCTTGTAGTGACCCATGAAAAAAATATTCTTTAAAAAATCCACGCCTTGTAGTGACCCTTGAAAAAAATATTCTTTAAAAAATCCACGCCTTGTAGTGACCCTTGAAAAAAATATTCTTTAAAAAATCCACGCCTTGTAGTGACCCTTGAAAAAAATATTCTTTAAAAAATCCACGCCTTGTAGTGACCCTTGAAAAAAATATTCTTTAAAAAATCCACGCCTTGTAGTGACCCTTGAAAAAAATATTCTTTAAAAAATCCACGCCTTGTAGTGACCCTTGAAAAAAATATTCTTTAAAAAATCCACGCCTTGTAGTGACCCTTGAAAAAAATATTCTTTAAAAAATCCACGCCTTGTAGTGACCCTTGAAAAAAATATTCTTTAAAAAATCCACGCCTTGTAGTGACCCTTGAAAAAAATATTCTTTAAAAAATCCACGCCTTGTAGTGACCCTTGAAAAAAATATTCTTTAAAAAATCCACGCCTTGTAGTGACCCTTGAAAAAAATATTCTTTAAAAAATCCACGCCTTGTAGTGACCCTTGAAAAAAATATTCTTTAAAAAATCCACGCCTTGTAGTGACCCTTGAAAAAAATATTCTTTAAAAAATCCACGCCTTGTAGTGACCCTTGAAAAAAATATTCTTTAAAAAATCCACGCCTTGTAGTGACCCTTGAAAAAAATATTCTTTAAAAAATCCACGCCTTGTAGTGACCCTTGAAAAAAATATTCTTTAAAAAATCCACGCCTTGTAGTGACCCTTGAAAAAAATATTCTTTAAAAAATCCACTTGTAGTGACCCTTGAAAAAAATATTCTTTAAAAAATCCACGCCTTGTAGTGACCCTTGAAAAAAATATTCTTTAAAAAAATCCACGCCTTGTAGTGACCCTTGAAAAAAATATTCTTTAAAAAATCCACGCCTTGTAGTGACCCTTGAAAAAAATATTCTTTAAAAAATCCACGCCTTGTAGTGACCCTTGAAAAAAATATTCTTTAAAAAATCCACGCCTTGTAGTGACCCTTGAAAAAAATATTCTTTAAAAAATCCACGCCTTGTAGTGACCCTTGAAAAAAATATTCTTTAAAAAATCCACGCCTTGTAGTGACCCTTGAAAAAAATATTCTTTAAAAAATCCACGCCTTGTAGTGACCCTTGAAAAAAATATTCTTTAAAAAATCCACGCCTTGTAGTGACCCTTGAAAAAAATATTCTTTAAAAAATCCACGCCTTGTAGTGACCCTTGAAAAAAATATTCTTTAAAAAATCCACGCCTTGTAGTGACCCTTGAAAAAAATATTCTTTAAAAAATCCACGCCTTGTAGTGACCCTTGAAAAAAATATTCTTTAAAAAATCCACGCCTTGTAGTGACCCTTGAAAAAAATATTCTTTAAAAAATCCACGCCTTGTAGTGACCCTTGAAAAAAATATTCTTTAAAAAATCCACGCCTTGTAGTGACCCTTGAAAAAAATATTCTTTAAAAAATCCACGCCTTGTAGTGACCCTTGAAAAAAATATTCTTTAAAAAATCCACGCCTTGTAGTGACCCTTGAAAAAAATATTCTTTAAAAAATCCACGCCTTGTAGTGACCCTTGAAAAAAATATTCTTTAAAAAATCCACGCCTTGTAGTGACCCTTGAAAAAAATATTCTTTAAAAAATCCACGCCTTGTAGTGACCCTTGAAAAAAATATTCTTTAAAAAATCCACGCCTTGTAGTGACCCTTGAAAAAAATATTCTTTAAAAAATCCACGCCTTGTAGTGACCCTTGAAAAAAATATTCTTTAAAAAATCCACGCCTTGTAGTGACCCTTGAAAAAAATATTCTTTAAAAAATCCACGCCTTGTAGTGACCCTTGAAAAAAATATTCTTTAAAAAATCCACGCCTTGTAGTGACCCTTGAAAAAAATATTCTTTAAAAAATCCACGCCTTGTAGTGACCCTTGAAAAAAATATTCTTTAAAAAATCCACGCCTTGTAGTGACCCTTGAAAAAAATATTCTTTAAAAAATCCACGCCTTGTAGTGACCCTTGAAAAAAAATATTCTTTAAAAAATCCACGCCTTGTAGTGACCCTTGAAAAAAAATATTCTTTAAAAAATCCACGCCTTGTAGTGACCCTTGAAAAAAATATTCTTTAAAAAATCCACGCCTTGTAGTGGCCCTTGAAAAAAATATTCTTTAAAAAATCCACGCCTTGTAGTGACCCTTGAAAAAAATATTCTTTAAAAAATCCACGCCTTGTAGTGACCCTTGAAAAAAATATTCTTTAAAAAATCCACGCCTTGTAGTGACCCTTGAAAAAAATATTCTTTAAAAAATCCACGCCTTGTAGTGACCCTTGAAAAAAATATTCTTTAAAAAATCCACGCCTTGTAGTGACCCTTGAAAAAAATATTCTTTAAAAAATCCACGCCTTGTAGTGACCCTTGAAAAAAATATTCTTTAAAAAAATCCACGCCTTGTAGTGACCCTTGAAAAAAATATTCTTTAAAAAATCCACGCCTTGTAGTGACCCTTGAAAAAAATATTCTTTAAAAAATCCACGCCTTGTAGTGACCCTTGAAAAAAATATTCTTTAAAAAATCCACGCCTTGTAGTGACCCTTGAAAAAAATATTCTTTAAAAAATCCACGCCTTGTAGTGACCCTTGAAAAAAATATTCTTTAAAAAATCCACGCCTTGTAGTGACCCTTGAAAAAAATATTCTTTAAAAAATCCACGCCTTGTAGTGACCCTTGAAAAAAATATTCTTTAAAAAATCCACGCCTTGTAGTGGCCCTTGAAAAAAATATTCTTTAAAAAATCCACGCCTTGTAGTGACCCTTGAAAAAATATTTTGTAAAAAATCCACGTCATGTGGTGACCCTTGAAAAAATATTCTTTAAAAATCCACGCTCTGTGGTGACCTTGAAAAAATATATTTTAAAAAATCCACGCCTTGTAGTGACCCTTGAAAAAATATTCTTTAAAAAATCCACGTCTTGTAGAGACCCTTGAAAAAAATATTCTTTAAAAAATCCACGCCTTGTAGTGACCCTTGAAAAAAATATTCTTTAAAAAACCCACGTCATGTGGTGACCTTTGAAAAAATATATTGAAAAAAATCCACGCCTTGTAGTGACCTTGAGTAGGTCAATAAAAAATATTTTTTAAATAATAATCATGCCTTGTGTAGGTCCATAAAAAATATTCTTTAAAAACTTCACGCCTCCTTTAGGTTCAAAAATAAAAAATCTCATGGTAACTCCCATATAAAAGACCTGATCGATTTTATTTACTTTGAGAGTCCGACTCTGCTGATTCAGGGTATAGAAATTTCATCCCGACCTAAATTAACTACTTCTTCTAACAATTTTCCATCTTTCAGTTTAATACAAACCATTCTTGGCGAATTACAACCCTCCTCCGGATCCATTAACGTGAACGGAACAGTGTCCTACGCCTCACAAGAACCTTGGCTTTTCACCGGTACCGTTCGTCAAAATATTCTCTTCGGTTTGCCAATGGATAAGAAACGTTACAATTTAACTGTAAAACGATGTGCCTTAGAAAGAGATTTCGAACTATTACCCTATGGCGATAAGACGATCGTTGGAGAACGTGGTGCCTCATTGTCGGGCGGACAAAAGGCACGCATCAATTTAGCCCGAGCCGTATATCGTCAAGCAGACATATATCTCCTAGATGATCCCCTCTCTGCTGTGGATACTCATGTTGGGCGCCATCTATTCGATCAGTGTATGCGTCAATATCTGCGGGATCGTACCGTTATTTTGGTCACCCATCAGCTACAATTTTTGGAACAGGCTGATGTTATTGTCATCTTGGATAAGGGCCAGGTGAAGGCAGTTGGTACTTATCAGTCTATGCGTCAAAGTGGTTTCGATTATGCCAAATTGCTATTGAATAATGGTGAGGGAGATGAGGATGCGGAGAATGAGGAACCAACAGATGGTAAAACTGATGATGAACGTGAGGCACAAAAATTGGCACGTCAAAATAGTAAACAAAGGAAAAGGCAAATAAGTGTCAGCTCAGTGGCATCTACAGTGGATTCGGTAGAAGAAGTGGAACCCAAACAAATGGAGGAGGCAAGGGAGGAGGGTGAAATCGGTTGGAAATTGTATAAGAAATATTTTGGTGCCGGTGGCAGTTATCCCACATTGGCCTTAATGGTTTTACTATGTCTTGGAGCTCAGGCATTGGGTTCGGCGGGTGATTGGTTTTTGTCATATTGGTAAGTTATCAATTTCCGATTTTAAAGAATATCTAATAAAATCTCCCCCTCCCTTTTAGGGTCAACAAAAATGAAAATAAATTACCCGATTTACCTGCAGGCGCCGAAGTCGAAACTGACCCCGTGGATATTTATATTTTCACCGCTCTCAATGTGGGCATTATCGTTGTGTCCCTACTGCGCAGTTTTATGTTTTTCAATGTGGCCTCGAATGCATCGACCCGTCTGCATAACGACATGTTTGTCGGTGTCACCCGTGCCACAATGTATTTCTTCAACACTAATCCATCAGGTCGTATTTTGAATCGTTTCTCCAAAGATATGGGTCAAGTCGATGAAATTCTGCCACAGGTTATGATTGATGTTATACAAATTTTCTTAGCCATGATGGGTATTGTTATTGTCCTGTGTGTGGTTAATCCTTGGTATATTTTGGCCACGGTTATCCTGTTTGCGATTTTCTACTTTTTGCGTTCGTTCTATTTGAAAACGTCGCGGGATGTTAAACGATTGGAGGCTATAAGTGAGTGCAAAAATGTTTTTATCGATCCTTAAAGCATTCTTTATCAAAAAATCCACGCCTTGTGTAAGTCCATAAAAATATTTTTTAAAAAATCCACGCCTTGTGTAAGTCCATAAAAATATTCTTTAAAAAATCCACGCCTTGTGTAGGTCCATAAAAAATATTCTTTAAAAAATCCACGCCTTGTGTAGGTCCATAAAAAATATTCTTTAAAAAATCCACGCCTTGTGTAGGTCCATAAAAAATATTCTTTAAAAAATCCACGCCTTGTATGTAGGTCCATAAAAAATATTCTTTAAAAAATCCACGCCTTGTGTAGGTCCATAAAAAATATTCTTTAAAAAATCCACGCCTTGTGTAGGTCCATAAAAAATATTCTTTAAAAAATCCACGCCTTGTGTAGGTCCATAAAAAATATTCTTTAAAAAATCCACGCCTTGTGTAGGTCCATAAAAAATATTCTTTAAAAAATACACGCCTTCTGTAGATCCATAAAAAAATATTTTTTAAAAAATGCACACCATGTGTAGGTCCATAAAAAATATTCTTTAAAAAATCCACGCATGTGTTGGACCTTGAAAAAAATATTTGTTTATATAAAACAAGGCTGTGCACGCCTGTGTTAGCCTTTGAAAAAATATATATTTCTGGTCCTATTTTTAAAAACTCCACGATTATGGGTCTCTTAAAAATTATTCCTTAAAAAATCCACGCTTATGGACCCTTTAAAAATTATTCTCTTCTTCTCTTTCACTTTTTTTTAGCTCGTTCCCCCATCTATACCCATTTAGGAGCCTCATTAAATGGCCTTGCCACCATCCGTGCCTTTGAAGCCCAAGAAATTCTCATTCACGAATTCGATAACTATCAAGATCTGCACAGTTCCGGTTTCTATATGTTCCTGTCGACCAGCCGTGCCTTCGGCTATTGGCTAGATTGTTGTTGTGTCCTATACCTGGCAGTTATTACCCTCAGCTTCCTACTCTTCTCCCCGGAAAATGGTGGTGATGTTGGCTTGGCCATTACCCAAGCCATGGGTCTGACTAGTATGGTCCAATGGGGTATGAAACAATCGGCCGAAATGGAAAATACCATGACATCGGTGGAACGTGTTGCCGAATATGAAACTATTGAATCGGAGGGTGATCTCGAATCTGAACCTAGCAAGAAACCACCAAAATCATGGCCCGAAGAGGGCAAAATTGCCTTTGATAATTTAAGTTTACGATATGCTCCCGATCCGAAATCGGAATATGTTTTGAAATCGTTGAATTTCATTATTCAACCATTTGAAAAAGTTGGTATTGTGGGTCGTACCGGAGCTGGCAAATCGTCGTTGATTAATGCTCTCTTCCGTTTGTCGTTCAATGATGGTGCTGTTGTAATTGACAGAAGGGATACTCAGGATATGGGTCTGCATGATTTGCGATCGAAAATATCGATTATACCTCAGGAACCTGTGCTGTTTTCGGGTACTATGCGTTATAATTTGGATCCATTCGATGAATACTCAGATGCCAAGTTGTGGGAGGCATTGGGGGAGGTAATAAAAATTATTTCTGCAAAAAAATCATTAAATTAATTTGAAATTGATTTCGTCCAGGTAAAACTCAAAGATGTTGTGGCCGAAATGCCCAATGGTCTGCATGCCAAAATCTCCGAGGGTGGTACCAATTTTAGTGTGGGCCAACGACAATTGGTTTGTCTGGCTCGTGCAATTCTACGAGAAAATCGCATATTGGTTATGGATGAAGCCACCGCCAATGTAGATCCCCAAACGGATGCCTTGATTCAAACAACTATTCGCCATAAATTCCAAGATTGTACGGTACTCACTATTGCCCATCGTCTACACACCGTTATGGATTCCGATAAGGTCTTGGTTATGGATGCTGGTCGTGCTGTTGAATTTGGCTCACCCTATGAACTGCTTACCCAATCAAAGGTTGGCATCTTCCTTGGAATGGTTAAGCAGACCGGCCAGGCCACCTTTGAGAATTTATTCAAAGTTGCCCAAAAGGCGCATGAGAATAATTTGCATGCCAAAAAGGAGCAGTAGTAATAGTTCAGTAACGAACTAAACCGCCAGCCGGTCAGCCAGTCTGTGTTTGGAAAAAAAATACTGACAAACCCAAAAATATATATTTTTTCCAGGACAAGTAATAGAAATAAATGCGAAAGAGAAGCGCCTAACGCGAACAACAAATCCAGAATTTACATAAAGATAAAGTGCTACGATTTGTTGTTGTAGTTTCATTTTGGTTTGCCCTTTTTACTGTTAAATTTCATTTTTCGATTTTTCCTTCCTTACTTCGTTTCCCTGTTTTTTGCCAGTTTTTATTAACAAACTCAGTTTAATTTTAAGGTAAAAACCCTCCAAAAAATTTAGCCAACTAAACAGTTCAGTTGTAATGAACCCTAAAGTGTTTGGCTATACTAAATGTAAATACATAGATAATTATGTATGTAATGTTGATGTGTCTGTATTTGTATTAAAACCTAAAAAGCGAAAAAGTACAAATGTATGTTAACTATTTTAATAAATTATAAATTTAATATTATTTCTTTTAATTAGTTTAGCATTGGTCAATGGGAAATTGGGAGTTCGTTGTAGAACACCTTCAATGGAAATTAATAATGTCGTATGATAAGGATTATATGCTACTCAGACCGCTTTTCGATCATTATACCCTTCACCACACTGTGGTACAGGGTATTATGTCTTTGTGCATATGTTTGTTACAGGCAAAAGGAATCGAGATAGACACATGCTTCCTTTTGAGAATATGCATAGAATCACTTTCTGAGTCGATTTACGCATGTCCGTCCATCTTAAATTGTAAACAAAGTGCAGGTCACATTTATTATCCGAATTGGATGGCACAAGTCACTTATTTGGCCCAAAGACGAACCCTATTGAAATTGAGAAAAATCGGTTCAGATTTAGATATAGCTCTCATACATATTTTCGTCCGATTTAATGTAAATGGTGTACCAATGTCCCTATATATCTTTCGATTTGCCCGAAATTTGGCACAGCGTACTAAATTAGGTCTAGTATGATGTGTGTTAAGTTTCCTGAAAATCGGTCTAGATTTAGATATAGCTCCCATATATATTTTCGTCCGATTTAAGTAAATGGTCTACCACAGTCCCTATATATCTTTCGATTTGCACGAAATTTGGCACGGCATACTGAAGTGATGTCGGCCAAGTTTCGTGAAAATCGGTTCAGATTTAGACATAGCTCCAATATATATTTTCGTCCGATTTAATGTAAATGGTGCACCAAAGTTCCTATATATTCTTCGATTGGCACGAAATTTGGCACAGCGTAATTAATTCGGTCTAGAATGATGTGTGTTAAGTTTCCTGAAAATCGGTTCAGATTTAGATATAGCTCCCATATATATTTTCGACCGATTTAATGTAAATGGTGTACCACAGTCCCTATATATCTTTCGATTTGCACGAAATTTGGCACAGCGTAATGAATTAGGTCTAGAATGATGTGTGGTAAGTGTCCTGAAAATCGGTTCAGATTTAGATATAGCTCCCATATATATTTTCGTCCGATTTAATGTATGTGGTGCACCAAAGTCCCTTAGTATCTTTTATTTGCCGAAATTCAACACAGCGTAATGAATTAGTTCTAGAATGATGTGTGGTAAGTGTCCTGAAAATCGGTTCAAATTTAGATATAGCTCCCATATATATTTTCGTCCGATTTAATGTAAACGGTGCACCAAAGTCTCTATATATCTTTCGATTTGTACGAAATTTGGCACAGCGTAATGAATTAGGTCTAGAACGATATGTGGTAAGTTTCCTGAAGATCGGTTCAGATTTAGGTATAGCTCCCATATATATTTTTGTCCGATTTAATGTAAATGGTGCACCAAAGTCCCTTAATATCTTTCTGTTTGCACGAAATTTGGCACAGCGTAATGCATTAGGTCTAAAATAATGTGTGTTAAGTTTCCCGTAAATCGGTTTAGATTTAGATATAGCTTCTTTATCTAACCAAATGAAAAAGTTAGTATTGGTTGCAGAATGACATGTTTATGGATCCAATTTCATTTTACTGGTCCTTTAAAAATGCGACGTCTGTTAGGATTCATTTGTTGAATATACCCAAAGTGGTGAAGGTTATCATATAGTCGGCCCCGCCCGACTTTACTATTTTCCTTACTGGTTTTTGGTAGTGAGATTTGATAGTCAATGAGAATACAATATACAAAATTACATCCAATTCGGTTGACCAAAATCCCGAAAATACTGACTTGGGGCTACCGTTATATTGCGGCTATCCTCAAACTTGGGTCAATATTAATCAGTTTTAGTACAAGTGTGTGTTATACAAAGTACAATCAATTCAGTTGAATAGCGTTCCGAAAATCCTCTAAATACCGAATATGGGTGAATACCGTCATTTGGAGAGCTAACATAAAACTTGGTACAATATTACTAATTTTTCGTACAAGAAGAAAAATGAAACCCAAAAATTCTAAATTACACCCGTTTCAGTTGAAAAACAAATGAAAAACGATCCCCAAAATACCGAATATGGGCCCGGGGTGGTATCGTTATATGGGGGCTACTCTGAAACTTGGGTCAATATAAATAATTTTTAGTGCGGAAATGTGCTATGGGAGCTACCCCGTACGGATATTTGTTGTACAACGATAACCCAAAATACCAAATTACAGCCACTTCGGTTGAAACACGTGTCGAAGAGCCTTTAAATACAGAATATTGAGTGTATATCGTTATATGGGTTTAACATAAAAAAACGTGGACCGATATATTCCCTTTGCAATACCAAACATCCTAGGGATACTAGCAATATATGTGCCAAATTTTAGAGCTCTATCGTAAATATTGCAATCCTTATCGTGATTTCAATAGACGGACGGGCATGCATAAATTGACATATAATTTTATTCCGATCAAGAATATATATTTTGTGAGATCTCCAGTGAATATTTCAAGGTACTGCAAAAGGAATGACAATTTTAATATATGCCCCACTTTATGGTGAAGGGTATAACAATACACCTTCCATCGAAACATAAATAGGCAGATTGAGAGAATAATTTTATAATGCCGCGATATGTAACCGAGAGTTTTGGGAATTCAAATAATTTATTTATGTACTGCCTAGTATGGGTCCCAATCATGATAAAATAATTAGAAAACCACCAAACAATATTTATAATAAATAATTAATAATAAAATAAAATTGTCTTACACTTCAAATGTGCTCAGCATTTACCCATTGTGCATTTTGTCCATGTTAATTATTTATTACATCGGCTTTTAGTATAATTAATATTTTCACAAACGATTAACGCCACTGCGTGTTTGAAATAATCCAAAGAGTTTCTATACAGCATTGAAAGGAGCGGTTGATTTTTCGTAATGTCATTTTTGCATAGAAGTAAGTTAACACACACACACACACAACGATAAATAGGTGTATAAAATTCAGAATTTTTCTAAACTCTAGGTATTATCATATTGATGAACACATATGTTGATATATACAATAACCTGGTAGATAGAACAGATATAGAATCTTTGGAGGACCATTGAGGTGGAATCAGGCGAAATTATATGTGATGATCTAGATCGACATTTGAGCCAATTGAAAAAAACCCATACACATACCATTCTTAAATCAATGAAAAATTGCGTGTCGACAAATATTGGGAGTTTGGTGCATCATTAAAAAAAAAACAGAAAGTAATGTCGGACTGGGCCGACTATATGATACCATTCACCGCTTTTGGTATATTGTACATATGTATCCTTACACTTGCTTGTCAATGTTCCTTCGAAGAAACGTACTCATGTCTTTCTTCAACCTGTGGTAAATTTAATTTCATTGGGGCCTATTTACAGTCGACTGCGTACGATGGAACAAATTTATGGAAAACGATATATAGCAAAATTGATACGCGCTATTCGGTACGCCGCACTTTTAAAAATGTAATTTCAATCAGACACCCGTTTGAAATACCTATGGAAGCTATGGCTGCATCTGGACCAATTTTAACAAAACGCAATAACGTCATTCAAGTCTCAATTCCAAATTTCGTGTTATTCGGACAAACATTAAGAGTTTGGAGAGCCATTTATGTAAAATCGGACGAATATATAAATACGTGAGAGCTATACAGAAATCTGAACCGATCCTAATCTTACCACACATCATTCTAAACACAATTCAGTACGCTATGACAAATTTCGTGCAAATCCAAGAACATGTAGGGACTTTGGAGCAGCATTTACATAAAATCGGACGAAAATATATATGGGAGTTATATCTAAATCTTAACCGATCTTCAGGAAACTTAATACACACCATTCTAGACTCAATTCAGTACGCTATGCCAAATTTCGTGCACATCGAAAGATATATAGGGACTTTGGTGCACTGTTTACCTAAAATCGGCGGAAAATATATTTGGGAGCTATATATGGGAGTATATATAAATCTGAACCGATTTTCATGAAACTTAACACACATCGTTCTAGACTTAATTTAGTACGCTATGCCAAATTTCGTGCAAATCGAAGGATATATAGGGACTTTGGTGCACCATTTACCTCAAATCATACTAAACTATATATGGGAGCGATATCTAAATGTGAACCGATTTTCACGAAATTCAACACACATGGTTCTAGACTTAATTCAGTATGCTATGACAAATTTCGTGCAAATCGAAGCATATATAGGGATTTTGGTGCACTATTTACCTTAAATCGGACGAAAATATATATGGGAGCTATATCTAAATCTGAAACGATTTCTCCCAATTTCAATAGGGTTCGTCCTTGGGCCGAGTAAGTGACCTGTGACAAATTTCATCCAATTCGCATTATAAATGCGACCTGTACCTTGTTATACCCTACACAACTATGTTGTCAAGGTATTATAGCTTTGTGCAGCCCCAAAAGTTTGTAACGCCGCGAAATATTGGTCCTAGACCCACCGATACCGATCGTCATATCTCGACTAGCTGAGTCGACATAGACATGTGTGTCCGTCCG